GGCGTAGGCTGGCTCGCCGTGACCGTGTGAGTCCAGCATGAGCCTTAGCGTGCTCGCGGCGGCAGTCTGGCGAGGTGAGCGCGCGAGGTCGTGGTTCAACCTCCTCCTCGCACCCCTTGCCCTCCTACACCTCACTCACTCTCGCTCAAACGCAAGCACGGGCTGCTGCTGCTACTTCACCAAGCCCCAGACTGCTACCTTCCACCTTCGCCCAATCTCCGCATGACGCGCCGCGAGGAGTCTCCTCCCTTGCTTTCCTCGTCGTCTCGCGACCCGTCACAGCATAAGGCGACGTCCCCCATGATGAGGCTACCCGACGAGCTGCTCTTGCACATCTTTGGCTTCGTGATGGATCGCCTTATCAAGGAGCGCATCGTTGCGCACTATTCGCATCGCCCATTCAGGAGTTCCGCATCGCCTCATGTCCCAGGGCATTGCCTACTCATCAATCGGCGCTTATACAGTCTCCTCTATAACTTGTGGGGAAGCTACCTTGGCCTGAGGTGCGAAGTTGCTCGCCATTCGGAGAAGGTAACTCATCGTTCCGCCGCACAAGTCTACTACATTGATGTCTGGGACGATGAGTATCATCCCGTACCGTTCTCGTACGAGTCCATCGATCCACCACATGACCGCCCTCCTGTGCCTTCAAACCAGTTCCTGTCATCCTTCTCACGCCTCCATACTCTCCGTGTGTGTTTCCGCGGAGGCATCCCTCGCACCTTCACGGACATTTTGAAGGAGTTAACAGCCTTAGCTGACTTGACCCTCGAAGCTCTGGGGGACATAGAGGATACGACCTTCACGTTCGGCGAAGCCACACCTTCCTTGCGGCATCTCGCTCTTAATCCCTCTTCACTTTGTTCCGAGCTTCAATGGCTCACAAACCTTCCTGCAAGCCTTGAAGAACTGCACCTAAATACGGTGTTCCCGCACAACCTTCCATGGCTCACAGTGCCACACATCTCCCTCTGTCCCCGGAAGGGCTACTTCAGCGATCCCGACGGCCTATTCTACAGCCTTGCCGATGCATGCGCCACCATTGTAAGTGGTCCAACCTCCTCTAGCTGCCTGTAGTGCGGTACTGACGCTCTATTGTCGGTTCATTCCGCTCCGCAGGATCCGCTGTCATACAGAGTAGAGGTGATGACCTTCCGCGTCGACGTTGTCTGCTCGCCAGAGCCTGAAGGGGACGGGTGCCCCGAGGATGTCATTTCGGAACTGCTCGAGCTGCTCCAGCCCGTACATTCGCTCAAGCACCTCCGCTTCCTCGGATTCCTCAGCTTCGGATGGGATCCAACAGACGTCCGCATTACATCAATTGAGACGTTGACACTACATGAAGACGTTCGCGAGGCGAACAGGCCCTACGAGCCGGCTCCGGCGCATCCACATCCACACCCCCACCTCTTTCCCTCGCAGCCTTCCCTACCACTTTCGGCCTATCACTATCAAACCTTCCTGGACTTCCTCAGCATCTTCCCCAACCTCCGCATTCTGAACCTCTGCGGATACGCTCCTCTCGATGACAAGGCGGACGAGATAACGCCCATCCAGCCCGGCGGCACAAGCACTTTCCTCAAGAGATATCCCCATCTGGATCTGTTGCTCCAGGGTATGACGGACAGCAAGGTTGTCAAGGTGTTCTACCGCACGGACTATGTGAGCGAGCGCGAGTTGCGGCTCAGGCGTGAAGGCCCGCGCAAGGAGTGGGAGGGCGAGTGGTGGAACTTGTAGCGTCTCGTCCAGAGCCCTGTGCCATCCAGTGTGCTGTCCATGATCAAGCGTCGAAGCCGTCGCGAGCGACCTATCGAGCAAGGAGCTGGAGAAGGAAAGCGAGCGGGAGACAATCAGAGAGGACGCGAAGCCGGTTGGTGCGCCACCCGCGTTCAGTCCATCGACTCTGAAGTCGCCTAGCCTATCGATCTTCGCCGAGTCGCGCAGCTGCGGTAGCGGAAGTCGAGGATGGGAGGAGAGGGAGGTCGGGCGAGGAGAGCGACAGCAATGCGCGGGCAGTGCGACAGGGCTTGTACGGTTCGTAGGAGTTTCTGCATCGTAGCTAGAGCACAGCAGCGAGGTGAGCCAATGTTGTCTTGGTCCAAGGGAGACCCCTCGCATCCTCGTCCTCCTCCACCCCTCGCATACCCCTCAAAACGGCCTCAAGATGAAGTTGGTCAGGTGAGCATTCGCTCTGGAACTCATACAACCCGGCTCAGCGCGCGCAGGGCACGATGCGAGCGTAGCACGACTTCATCGCACTTCCTCCGGCTCGCCTCGACTAGACAGCGACAACGGCGCGCTTTGCAGGGCGGAATGGGTCTGGATTTGGCGCAGACTGGGTGCAAAACGGTCTGGGTCTGTTCAAGGGACCCTCGTTGGGCATGCTGGACGGAGAGCGGCGGGTTGTCGGACGAGGTGGAGCAGTCACATCACCGCTAGAGGCGCTGGGAGGACGCAGGATGGGCAGCAGAGACCGCGCAAAAGCTCTGGGTGTTCGACGAGCTAACCGCTGCTTTGCGTTCCTGTCGTCCTGGTTGCTCCTCTCCTCCTCGTCAGGTTCTTGGTGCGTTGTCTCTCTCGCGCTTGGGTGTGCCTAATGCAGGTTGCTCACGCTGTTCGAACTCCCATGCGCACAGATGAAGCTCAACAACGAGACGGTGACGATTGAGCTGAAGAACGGAACGTCGGTGCATGGTACCATCACGGGTCCGTTGCGATCCGCATCCCTCAGCGATTATCATACGCTGACAATATGTCTGTCATGTCCCTTCTTTCCCCGTGCACGCTCGTGCGCTCCTCGTCCCGCCGCCCGCGCACCGACTCCTTCCACTCTACCCGCTCCCCGCACCTGTCGCACCACCCGCTCCGATACCCAGGCGTCGACCCCTCGATGAACACACACTTGAAGAAGGTCAAGATGACGGTTCGCGGGCGGGAACCTCAAGCGCTCGACTCGCTCGCGATTCGCGGCAACAACGTTCGCTACTTCATTCTCCCTGACTCGCTTCCCCTCGACACGCTCCTCATCGATGATGCACCGAAGCCGAAGAAGAAGAAGGGAGAGGTGCGTTTGACTCGCTTGGCCCCTCTGAAGCGTGACCCACTCGACCTCTGTTTCGCCTGTTCACCTTGACTAGTCCGTCACTAACGGTTTCTCCGCTTCTCGCAGGCAACGAGGGGACGTGGACGGGGTCAGGACCGTGGCAGGGGACGTGGACGAGGAAGGGGTGGTCGCGGCAGGGGTATTTGAGCGAGCGAGCGAGGAGGCGCAGGACTTGGCCGAGCTGTCAACTGAGCGCGGAAAATCTGCGGACGCGCTTTGCAATACCGTGTACATCACCTTGCCATCCAGCATCGTCTGGCAGGACCTGCGAGGCTTTGTGTTCGGATTGCCACCTCCTCGCTTGGCTGACTGACCCTCTCGCTCGACCACACCGCTTCGACTCGCTCGCACGCGCTCGCGACTGCTCGCCAGGCTTCTGCACACGCTCACAGACACCCACTCAGCCCACCCAAGCCACCCGCACCCGCACGCGACCGCCTCTGACGCCCGCTCCTCGACACTTCCCCATCTCCCGCTCGCTCGCCTCAGCCAGGACCGATCTAGCAGCCAGCATGTCGGACGCAGAGCTCGATTACTCGTCAGAGTACGAGGACTACCAGGACGATGTCGAGTTTGACGACGACATGGCCGGTCAGTCCTCCTCTCTCGCTCGCTCGCGGTGAAGGCGAACCGCGGGCTCGTCTGGACGCGTCCGGGTGCGCCATACTGATTACCTTGCCACGTCCTGCAGACCTCACGTCGGAAGCAGGCTCCGTCTCCGACTCTGGCTTCTCCCCCTTCGGCACCTCCACTCCCGCATCCGCCTCTGCAGGCGGCCAAGGCATTCTTTCGTCCGCGTCGTCGTCTGCGGCAAAGGGCAAAGGGAGGGCGTCGATCGGCGGCGAGGATTTGTACGGTCAGGTCGAGTACAAGGTGTTGAGCCTCAAGCAGCTCGAGGAGGAGCAGCGTCGTGCGATCGAGTATGTCGAGGACATGCTCAAGCTCAAGGTGCGTTCGGCTGCGATTCACTGGGACTTAGGTCGAGAGCCGGTGGAGCTGGCTCTGCGATCGCCTGTTTCGTTTGCACTGACCCTGGTCTTCCTTCCTCGCAGCCCGAATCCGCCGCAACGCTCCTTCGCTACTTCAACTGGAAGAAGGAGAAGCTGATCGAGGCGTACATGGAGGACGCCGAGGTGACGCTCGAGAAGGCGGGCATCCGAGAAGGCGGCGCGCAACCTCGGCTGAAGCGCGTCCGGGGGTTTGTCTGCGACGTCTGCTACGACAACGAGACGAAGGAGACGCTGGCGTTGACGTGCGACCATCGCTGTGAGTTGCGGCGCGTCCTTCTCGCCTTGCCCAGAGACGGCGAAAGGCTGTCCTGTGGAGGTAGAGCCCGTCTTCGACTTGCACTGACTTCTTTCTATGCGCTCCAGTCTGCAAGGCCTGTTACTGCCACTACCTGACGAGCAAGATCATCGACGAAGGCGAGAGCCGAAGAATCGAGTGCATGGGCAAGGACTGCCATGTCATTGTCGACGAGAAGACGGTCGAACTGCTCGTCCCGCCAGACATCCTTGACCGGTGCGTTCCGCTTCGCTCATGTCTTGAGCATGCGCTGACAACACTCTCGACACTGTGCAGCTACCGGCTCCTCCTCAACCGCACCTACGTCGACGACAACCCTCGAATGCGCTGGTGTCCCGCCCCGAACTGCGAGTTCGCCGTCTCGTGCGCCGTCGCCCCTCGCTCGCTCGACGTCACGATCCCGACGGTCCAATGCGCATGCGGCCACATCTTCTGCTTCGGCTGCCAGCTCGACGGCGACCACCGCCCGTGCTGCTGCCCGATCGTCAAACGGTGGATGAAGAAGTGCAAGGATGACTCGGAGACGAGCAACTGGATCTCGGCTAACACGAAGGAGTGCACCAAGTGCCATTCGACGATCGAGAAGAACGGAGGCTGCAACGTGCGTCGCGCACTCCTCCTCTCCACTTCATCGACTCTCGAGCCTGTCGTACTGACGCGACCTCGTCTTCGCAGCACATGACGTGCAAGAAGTGCAAGTGGGAGTTCTGCTGGGTCTGCATGGGCCCCTGGTCCGAGCACGGCACGTCGTGGTACAACTGCTCGCGATACGAGGAGAAGGCCGACAACTACAAGGACGCGCAGAGCAAGAGTCGCGCGGCGCTTGAGCGGTACCTTCACGTGCGTGGACGCCTCGCTGCGTGTCCGTCGACTTTCTTCGAGATAAGGCGACTGACTCGAAGTGCTTCACGGCTCCGCAGTACTACAACCGCTTCTCGAACCACGAGCAGTCGATTCGCCTCGAAGCCGATCTCTACGTGCGCACCGAGAAGAAGATGGAGGAGCTGCAGGAGCAGTCGACGCTCTCGTGGATCGAGGTCCAGTTCCTCGCCAAGGCCGTCGAGACGCTCGGCAAGGTCCGCACCGTCCTCAAGTGGACGTACGCCATGGCGTTCTACCTCGAGAAGAATAACTTTACCCAGATGTTCGAGGACAACCAGAAGTGTGTTCCCGCTTGGGCTCTGCACCTCTCGTCGCTCGTGACACAATGCTGACGTCTCCCCCGCCCCGCAGCGACCTCGAGCAAGCGGTCGAGTCCCTCTCTGAACTCCTCGAACGCCCTCTCGAGGAGGACAAGATTGCCGAGCTCCGCCAGCAGACGACCGACAAGACCGTCTACGTCGCCAAGCGCTGCAAGGTCCTCCTCGACGACACGCTCAGGGGTTACGAGGAGGAGCCGCCTCGGTGGATCTGGCAGGAGCCGATCAAGTTCTGAGACGGCGATTTGTTGTATTCTCCGTGCATAGCTTTCTCCCTCGCTTTAACCTCTCGCATCGCATCCTCTGCCTTTCTCCGTCGCACTCTCCTTGCTTGTTAGCTTTCCTTCGCTTTGCTGCGATTCTGTAGGCGGTTATTTGTGTAACTCGTCCTTCAAGCGATGGTTTGCGTGCGCTGAGCTGCTACGAAGTCATGGCTTCAACCCGTGGCGACACCTCCTCCTCCGAACTTCCGCATCACGTCCCACAAGAAGCGCTGGGCAAGGGCTCGGTGGAAAGCGGCGGCGCGTTCCGTCGGGAAAGCGTCCTTCAGGTACGCCTGCAGCGCCAGGTTGGCGGTGATCAAGTTCGACTCATAGTACGCCTCCTCCTCTGCATGGGAGTCGCCTGCATTAGAGTGATTGATGATAGTCTCGATCGCCAGAGCGCGATGCAGGATCTCGGTCTCGGGCCATGTTCTGTCTCCTGTGAGCTGTGGGAAGGAGACGTTGTCCGCCCTCAACAGCGTCTTGACCCATGTTGCCAGTGCCCATAGGAGATAGGCGGTAGCAATCTTGCCTTCGTCAGGCACGGCACGAAAGGCGGAAAGGAAGAACTGTGCCCAGCTCGAGTCCAGAGGCTCGCGATCTTTGGCGGTGAGCGTGCAGCGTCGCAGCAAGCTCTGCATCATCACGGAATCAAGTCAGTGTTGGGAGTGAGGAAGCCTTCAAGCGAAGGGTGAACAGGTTGAACGGACTCGGTAGCGTACCTTCACCTCTTCGAGCTTCAGATTCCACGACCACGACTTCTGCAGGCTGGCCAACAGCGTGGTCCTTCCGTCTTCGCCGAAGCTAGGTTGCTCAAGCTTGGTGAACAGGTCCTCGAGCTCTGCGTCGGTAAAGTAAGGGAAGAGAAGCGGGAAAGCGTTCGGTCCGCAGAAGATGCGATGACCAGGCCAGGCCTGCGCGAGACGAGAAAGTCAGCAAGGCTTCCAGGCGACTCGCGCGTCCTCCGCAATGCCTTTCCCGTCAAACGCAGGCTGCGAAGACTCACGAGCTTCTGGTGTTCCGGCGAGCAGAAGAAGAGGTCCACACCCGCTCTCTTACACTTCGAGCACCGGTTCTTAGTCTCGGCGTAGCACACCAAGCACCTTCCTGTCGCGTTGACAGACATCGCTCGGTCTCGCGGGGCGTTGTGGTCGAGATGTGTGAGGAGGAGAGGCGAGGACTGATGAAGCGCTTGAGGGCGAGCGAGGGCGGGAACAGAAGGCCAGAGCGTGCGCGAGGATGAGGTGACCTCTGAGCTTGCTCACAGCCAATATCAGCGAGTCCAGCGGCGGATGAGCGGATGGCGGCAGGGTGAGCAAGGCGAGACCCGGGATAGGTAGCGACGGCGAAGCATTTCTGAGATTGGCGCCGAGGATCAGCGAGTTCGACGACATGCTTGACATGGCTTGACGGTTCTGGCTCCATAGGCGACGTCTTACTAGTGGAGATGAGGAGCTCGCGCAAGTTCACTTACACGAACTCGCGGGGACGACAAGCCGTGGTATTGCAGGTTCGCGCAGCTCGAATTTGTTATGCTGGAGCCGACGAGAAGAACTCCATCTCGGGGTATCGTTGACGGAAGGCCGCAGAAATGCTGGCGGCACGATGCGGCGGGAAGCGATCAATTGTGTACGTGAAGAGACCTTTGTAGCAGGTGACCGTAGCGCTCGAAACGCTGATGCCGTCAAGGTAAGCCTGGCCTTCCAGGAGGTCCCGGGCCTGCAAGACGAGAGAAACGAAGGCGAAAGTGCGGTGGAGGAGCTCCGCCTCTGCAGGCGAGCACGATGTGAGGTCCTCTGGCACAGCCTCAGCACGCGTGAGGTATTGTGCGGTGGAGGCGAACCTGTTGAGCAGACGGGTCGAGGTCGACAAGGAATCTGATTCGCAGGGTATGCGTAAGGAAACGAGGTAGTACTGCTCGTCGACGCAACGAGCGCCATCGACTTGCGGCCGGTGAAGTTCGTTGCGGAGCATGCTCTGTTTCGCAAATTGTCAGCTTGAGGATTAGCTGTCGGACGCAGAGGTCTTCACCTTCACATCCTGAATCGACAGCCTCCCCTCCTCGTTCAGCGACTCGTACAGAGTGCTGGTCTGCCCGCCGACCTTCAAATATCTCGTGTGAAGGTTCTTGATGATGAGCTCCAACTCCTCGTCAGACAGAAACGGGAAGCAGAGCGGGAAAGCGTTCGGGCCGCAGAAAAAGCGGTGACCTGGCCAGACCTGTGAGCAGCCGGAACAAGGTCAGCGCGCCGTGGAGCGGCCGTGGAGCGGCCGTGGAGCGCGACTCCGACTCGTCTTGATGACGGGCAAGAGCAGTTGACTCACGAGCTTCTGGTGTTCCGGCGAGCAGAAGAAGAGGTCGATTCCTGCCTCTCCACACCTCGAGCACCGGTTCTTCGTCTCGGCGTAGCACACCAAACACCTTCCTGTCCCATCGGTGCTCATCGCTCGGTCTCGCGGGTCGTGCTTGTCGAGCCGTGTCGAGGAGGAGGTGCGAGAACTGATGAAGCTGTAGAAGGCGAGTGAGGGCGTAGGGACAGGCCGTGAGCGGTCTCGGCGATCTCAATGGACGTATAGAGCGAGGACAAGCAGTATCAGAGGAGATGAGCGGTGCAAGCTGTTGCGGTAAGAGGAAAGCGGCAGCCAGACTGTCGAGAGAGCCTCCTTCTCGCCGTTTCTCACCTTGACCTCACCCTATCGAGCCAACTCGCGTCATTTGATGGGACGATGAGGCGTAGAGAACAAGCCGGAGAAGCGGGCTGGAAAGGATGAACGCAGTTTCAAAACCTCTACATGACCTCGCACCCCTGTGCACCTCAGCGTTCGACTCTATACCTGCTGAACTTGAGACTGCTTCGCCAGCACTTTGTCGAGAGCGTTGAGACCGTAAAAGTGCGACTCGACGATCTCAAAAGCCTGCGCGGCAAACGCCTTTTCGAACTCGTCCTCGATGAACCAGCGAAGCGCTCGGTACGAGTTCAAGGTCGGTCCCGAGAAAGTGAAGGCCGGAACGTCCTTGGGGGTCGGGAGCTTGCGATCGTGCTCGGTCAGAGTCATGACAGTGAAGAGGCGGTGGAGGAGTTCGCAGTGCGACCATGGGTGCGACAACATCGCATCCGAGATCATCCCCCGAGCGACAAAGCGGTCCATAACCTTGGAGAACTGGCTGAGCAGCTGCGCCGGGAGAGAGAGTGATTCGAGAGGATAGATCGTGCGCAGGCGCATCAAGAGGTATTGAGGTGAACTCTCCTGGTGCCTTGGTGCGGTCTTGATGAGCTCTTCTCGGATGAAGCCCTGTAGAGTCGCACCGTCAGGCTAGGCCAGTCAGCAGGGATTCCGCCCAGTCGGGACCCGTACCTCGAGAAGCTCAGGCGTTATCTGTCCGTCGAGGCTGAAGATGTTAGCGGGCCTGAATAGGCCGCCGTCAGGCTTCGACTGCGGCTTGTAGAGGTTCTCGAAGACGGCCGTAAGCTCCTCGTCTGACAGTCCAGGAAAGACGACTTGGTAGGCGGACGGTCCGCAGAAGAGTCGATGTCCTTGCCAGGCCTGCACGGCGAGCAAAGCGGTAAGCGTAGTCCCCGGTGCAACTTCCCAGCTCCCTCGCCGAGTGCGGCAATTGATACGGAGAAGAACGGAGACTCACGAGCTTCTGGTGTTCCGGCGAGCAGAAGAAGAGGTCCACCCCCGCACCCGCACACTTCGAGCACCGGTTCTTCGTCTCCGCATAACACACCAGACACCTCCCTGTCGCGTTCGTGCCCATCGCTTGGACTCGCGGGTCGCGGTTGACGAGGTGTGTCTCCGGGGGGAGAGGCGAGAACTGATGAAGCGCTTGAGTGCGACGGAGGGCGCGGGGACAGGCCGTGAGAGGTCTTGACGATCTCAAGGGACGAATAGAGCGGGGACAAGCAGTAGCAAAGCAGACGAGCGGTGACGAAGCGGAAGAAGTGAAGTCGAGGAGGAGAAGAAGGCGAATTTGGGCTTCCGGTCTGTTGTCGCTCCCAAGGACTGCCTGGCACGACAACAACGAGACATCTTGCAATTCTATCTTCTCTACTCCGTTCTCTAGTCCACATCCTCGCTCTCCTTCTCCCCCTTGTCCTCCCCCTCCCGCTCCTCGCCCTCTCCCTCGAGCACAAAACTAACCACAAACCACTTCTCCCCCGTCCCCTTCCGCTGACAACTAAACACCACCGGCTCTCCATTCCAATACTTTGCCAACGAGAACCCGAGTCCGCCGGGTAGCGAGACCGAGAGCGAATCAAAGTTGATGAAGCCGTGTGAGAAGTCGGCTCGAAGGATGTGTGAGGGGGTTAGGAGGGTTTGGGAGCAGTGAGGGGATTTGGAGAAGTAGGAGCGACGGGCGGAGGGGTTGCCCACGAGGGAGGGAGCGTCGGAGGAGGGAAGGAGCGGAGAGAGGTCTTCGGGGAAGGAGTCGGGCTTGAAGGGCGGTAAAGGTTCAGTTGGCGGATGCTCGCGGACGGACATGTACTGCAGGGTTGCGAAGAGCGGGGACTGCGAGCAGGCGGGCGTTAGCGAGCGTCACCAGGGAAGGAGAAGGGATGGAAAGGGACGCACGAGTGCCCAAGGCTTGTCGGCGTAAAGATCACATTCGAGCGAGGGGTCGACGTAGCGCATGAAGCGTAGCGCGGCTGCGGTGCCGTACTGCATGGCGAGCGAAGCGAGGAAGGTCAGTCGAGAGTTGTTCTTGTACATCCTGCGGGTAGCGGCCAAGAGTCGAGGGAGTGACGCTTACGGGAAGGTACTGCGCGCATTGTTGAACCACATCAGTACGTCTCTTGACGAAAGGAAACCTCAAGCCTCAAGAGGACTTCAGAAGCGAGGTAGAAAGAGCGGAAAGCGAAAACGCACCGACTTGATCGGTTTCTCCCACACATTCCCAAACATCTGCGCAACCCGCCGGTCCTCACAAAACCCATCAGCACTCCCTTCCTTTCCCCCCTTGAGTGAGAGCAAGAGGAGAGAAAGCAGACTCACCACCTCCTCGGCACTCACTTCCCCCTTCCACCTCCCCTCAAAACTAATACTCCACGTCACTCCCTCCTCGAGCCCCTCCCCCTCCCCCTCCTTCAAGCCGGGATAGTCTTTGAGCCGAACACTGATGGACCCTTCCCATGAGGTGGAGGAGATAGAGAGGGGAGGACCGTTGATGGAGATGGGTTCGAGGGATGAGAGTGAGGGGCCTGCTGAGACGCGGACGCGGGGAGCTGGGGGCATCCTTTCGCTTGCGAGTAGTCGGGGAGGAAGAGAGCGAGGACGATGACGATGCGAGCCGACCGCGGTGAGGATCGGGTCACGTGATGCCCACTCTCTCACGGAAATCAGCGACAAGTCAAAAGCGGCGACTTTGCGAGCGAGTTCGAGCTTTGTATCTGGGGCAATGTCAAGCGTGTATCGTTTCAAAGCGAGGAGAAGGGGGGTAGTCTATTGTCGAGCGAGGACGAGGGGGGATCAAGCGAGGAAGAGGGATATAGAGAGAGGAACGAGGGGGGAGGGGAGGAGGAAGGGGTGTATCAAGCGAAAAGCACATCACATCACATCACAAAAACCGAGAAGAAACCCGAACAAGCGGCGCCGTCCCTTCTTCCACACTCACTGCTTCTCCCCCTCGCCCTCCTTCTCCTCGACAGTCTCGGCAACCTCGTCCTTCTTCTTGAGCACGAAACTCTTGATCTGCTCGACGACGGGCTGGAGGCGGTCCTGGGTGTAGGTGAGGACGTTTTGCGCGCGGGCGCCCATCGGGATGTCTGTTTGCGCGAGCGCAGCGAGGGCAGAGAGTCAGCGTCGTCTTGCTGAACTTTCTCGGTATCTCGTCAAAGTCGACGAGAAGAGAGGAGAGAGCGCGGGAGGACGCACCGGTGCGAGTGACCTCCTTGCGAATGTGGTCCGCAGCCTCGACGACTCCGTCAAAGACGGGCTTGGCGGTCGCTTGGGCGTTGGCGGGCTTTATCACATCCCCACAAATCCTATCGTCAGCTCGTCGGTCGGAAGAAGGGAGGGAGGGGAGGGAAGGACGCACGATCGACTGAGCAGACTTGACCAACCCGTCGACCTCGTTGAGGATCGAGTGGAGCGTAGACTGGAGGCTCTCCGTGTCGTGGGGGACTGCATCGCATCCACTCAAGCCTGTCAGCGGGAGAAGGGAGGAAGGGAAAGGGAGGGAGAGGGACGCACGCTGCTTGATCGTCTTTTGGAGACGGTCTTGGAGGGACGAGAGGTGCGCTTGCGAGGTCGTGATGCGCTGGTAGAGCTGGTCCGTCACGGGCGAGATGCGCTGCGGGACGCGCACAAGGGAGAAGGGAGAAATGTCAGCGACAGCGCTCTCCCTGAAGCAGTCGACCGCCCTCGCGCTCGGCGAGAACGAGCGACAAAGAAGGAGAGAAAACGCCGGCGCGCGACTCACAGACTGGATTCCCTGCCTGTACTCCTGGGCCGTCTGGAACGCGGCATCGGCGGGCCCCCTCGCCTTTCCAATCAACTCTCCCGTCTCCATCTTGACCTGCGGGACATACTTCTCGACGACATCGAGCGTCTTGTTCGCGTACTGGTCCGCCAACTCGAGGGGGAGGACGGGCTGGACGTGAGCGAGGATCTGGCGCGAGAGGCTGAGGGTGCGCGAGTAGAGGGACGAGATGTAGGGGTGCGAGTGGGCGTAGTGGTCAAAGGTCGAGAGGGTGTCTTTGATCACGGGGTAGTCGAGCGCCTGTGTTGCACGTGTGTGAGTTGTTGAGCGGGTTTTCACGAGGAAGAGATGGGGACGCACGCGGTGGATGGCGGTCTCGTGCGCGAGGGGCGCGTCGGTGGCGGGCTGCTTCTCGTTGACGGTGGCCATCTTGCGTGCGTGCGTGTTTTGAGTGCGTGTGTGAAAGAGAGAGGAGAGTGAGGCTGTGCGGGTGGGATGACGATAAGGGTGAGCTGCCCGAGTCAGTGCGAGTGCGAGCGAGTGTGCTCACGCTGTGTCGCTGTGCTCGTTGTTTGCTTACAAGCGAGTGAAGAGCAAGAGAGAGAGCGAGAAGAGCGAGAAGGCGGGAAAAACGATTGCACGACGAACGAGATGCGCATGGTTTGCATCCGGACCAGCTCCCAACTCTCTTCACTTCCAAGTCGCCCTTCGCTCGCTCGCCACTTTCCCCAACAAACACACTCTCTCCTGACCCACTCACAAGCGTAGAATAACGAGCGTGACCTTGCAAAACTGCGACTCACCAGACCTTAAACGAGAGATGCTGTGCGTAACGACCAAACGAGACTCCCCCCTTCCTCTCCCTCTCCCCGTCCCGAGGCGCCTACTTCCCCCGCCCCTCCTCCGCCAACCTCGCCGCAACGAGCACCACCTTCTCCGCCACCACCGGCCTGTAATGTAACGCGATGAGTGCCAACGCGCGCAAGTCGGGTTCCGAGTCGAGGAGGTCGATCGTGATTCGGGGCTGTTGCTCCTCCCTCCTCATCAGCATTCCCCCCAGAGTAGAGAAACTTTCAGTGGGGAAGGGACTCACAGCCCCCTTGACCCCCCTCTCCCTCGCACACTCCTTCACAACCCTAAACACCTTCTCCCCCAACCTTTGCTTGACTTCGCTCACGGGCTTTCCGGAGAGAGAGTCCATGAAGGTGGTTGTGGGGGCCGTGTCGGACGGGGAGGGGAGGAGCGGCGGTGAGAGGGAGGGGAGGAGAGGGAGGATTTGGGAGCAGGGGAGCGCGGCGAGGGTGGAGAGCGACATGGGCTGGGTCGGCGGCGCTGTCGGTGCTGTACATGCAAGCTGCCGTCAGCGGCGAAAAAACGCGAGGAATCCACACGCTCGAGCCCGACTCACCCTCGACCTTCTCCTCCTCTCCCTCGTCCTCCGCTTCCAAGATCCCCAACGCATCCTCGACTTTCCGCCTACAAAACTCCGAATTGAACAGACACATCTTGCGGTCCTTCTTCGGGAGCTGTTCGGGCGCCTCCTCTCCATCAGCGAAAGAAAAGAGGGAGGGAGGGGGAGAGCGGACGCACGCTTTCGAGGAGCTTTATCACCTCTCCGCGCTTCTCCGCCGGAACGTCTGGACCGAGCACCTCCCTGACTGCTGCGGCGAGGCGGTCATGCTCGCTCTCCTCGTTCGACTCGGCAGGCTGAGGTTGAGGAGGCGTGGAAGTCGCGTCAGAAGGCGAGAGTGGCGAGACGGGTTTGGTTGTGCGGGAAGGGGACGAAGACGGGGTCGTGGGCTGTGTCGCACGCACGCTCGCGAGTCAGTCAGTCTCAGCGGCGCGGCGGGAAAAGGAGGAGAGGAACTTACGCCAGTTGACAACCCCTCCATTCCCTCCCTTACCTCCTCCACCCCCTCTTCCTCCTTCTTCTTCTTCCTCGCAAACTCCCTCTCCAACCTCTCCCTCCTCACCTCCCTCTTCTCATGCACTCTAACCGTGACCCTCCTCCCACCCACCTGCATCCCATCCACCCCTCTCAACGCACGCTCCGCATCCTCCGCCCTCTCAAACGCGACGAATCCGAAGCCTTTTGAGCGGTTGGTGAGAGGGTCGAGCGCGATGGTGGTGGAGGTTAGAGCGCCGAAGGGGGAGAAGAGGGCGGTCAGGGCGGGGACGGAAAGACATGGGTCGAGGTTCTTGATGAAGAGGTTGCCTGCGCGCGATAGGCGTGTTGTCAGCTAGAGGGAGAGGAGACGAGATCAAAGGAAGGAACGCACGAGGATCCGACCCCGCCTGTCCCGCTCCTCCCGCTCCTCCTCCTCCTCCCTGAACCGTCTCGCCCGCCTCACTCGACAACCTCGACATCGTAGAGCTCGCGCCCGACACGTCCCTCCTCATTGGCATCGTGCTCGGCGTCGACGGTCCAGTCGCGGCAAGTCCAGCGTACCTTGAGTATTTCGAGGGCGTCTCCTGCTGCGTCGCCGCCCAACGAGAAACTTTTTCATTCGGACTCAACCCCGGACTGGGTGTCGTGCCCAGCGACGCCCGACCACGCCCACCAGCAGCGCGCTTGGCATCCCAAACCTGCACCGCAACACTCTGACCCCCGACCTCGGTGAAATGCAGTCCTCTCTGCATCTCCTCCGCATGGTGTTCGTCATAGAAAGTGACTAGTGCTTGGCCTTTGAATCTTGGTGGGCCGCCGGCGGGCGAGGGAGCGAGGAGGAGTGTTGCGGAGTGGATCGGACCGAAGGGGCGGCAGAGGGAGAAGAGGTGCGAGGCGGTGAATGGGCGGGCGAGGTGTTTGATTATCCTTGGGGTTGCTTGCGGCTCGAGATCGGTGGAAGAAGACGAGGGAGGGGAGAAGGAGAGGAGGAGGATGTGGCCGGATGAGAGGCGCTGGTTGTTGCATGTCGCGTAGGCTCGTTCGGCTTTGTCGAGCGTCTCGAACTCGATCTTGCCGCTCATAGGGACGGTGGCTGTCCCATCCACACGACCAGTGTCAGCACGCAGCGAAGGCCTGAGCGAGCGAGCGCTCGAGAGGGTGAACGTACGATTCTGCTCGTCCCGCTGCAGGAACAGCCTGAGCCTCAAACAGTCCTTGAGGGCCTCGACGATCTCTTCGTCTGCCACGGAGCTCGGCAAGCCTGAGAGGTAGAGGATGGGACTTGAGAGGACTGGGTGGGGAGGAGGAGGCGCGGGTGAGGCGGCGGTGGCCATGGTGAGCGGTGTGGCTGGTGTCGAAGGTGTAGCGGTGTTTTATCTAGCTGCTCGGGTTGTCCAGCTCGCCCACGAGTGCGCGAGAAGAGCGAGAAGAGCAGTCGTCGGCCTCGACTTCTCGCCGTCGAGCGAACCGTGCACGCGCGAGTCGTGGAGCTGGCAGAGTCGCCCAAAGCGTGTAACAAGCCTTCCAACAGCCACTCACAGCCCAATGAGCCAGCCAGAGCGCCTCACTCTCGCCAACTCCGCCTCTCATCAGCGCGCCGCGGAGGCGGCACCGTCTCACGTGCAGCAAAAGCTCGTTCATTGCGCCGCTCCCTCGTCCGCCTCGTCCTGCCGCCGCATCTCGTCCATCAGCTTCTCGCGCTCTTTCAGTCGTAGGCGAGCGAGGATCGAGTCTTCGTCTGTCGAGGCGGGGGCAAAGGACTGCCACAGAGAAGGTCAGCGAGTTGTGAGGCGCGAGGACAGCGAGCGAGACTCACGAAGGAGGGTACGGCGGATGCTGGCGGAGACGCAGATTGTCGAGGAGGTGGCGGTGAAGGCGCCGCCTGCGCTCCCAGCGCCGCAGGAGGCTGACCCGCCGCCCAACCCACCTCGAACCCCTTCCACCTCCCCTCCGGATCCGCCTCCTTCCCTTTCACCACCCTCACAGCCGCACTGAGCGTCTTGAACGCCAAAATGCCTGAGCCGTGCTTGCCCTTCGAAGGGTTCGCGAGCGTCTTGGATGAGAGTACGACCGAGTCGATGTCGGGATTTGCGGGGGCGAGTGTGCGCTCGAGGAAGGCAGTGACAGAGGCGTCGTCGACGAGCGAAGGGTGCGCAGACTTGAGCCACTTAACCTTGAGCGTCTTGTCGAGCGGGCCCAACTCGACCACCTCTGCCGGCGCACCATTCGTCCTCCCATTCGCCCGCTGTTCCTCCACCCTCCTTCGCTCCTCCTCCTCCCTAACCTTCCGCCTCCCCTCCTCCGCCCCCTGAGCCTGTCGCGCCCTCTCCTCTCTCAACCTCCTCCCCTCCTCCTTCAACCTCTCAACGTCCATTTTCTTACTCCTCTCCCCCTCTCTAGCACGCTTACTCTCCCGCTCGCTCCGCTCCAGTTCCTCAGCCATCGCTTTGCGCTTGTTGTCGAGCGCTGCGAAGCGCGCTTTGCGGGCGTTGCGGGCGGCGAGGAGCGAGTCGAAGGTGGACCGCTTCGAAGGGTCAGAGAGGACGTCGACTGCTATCGAGAGCTCGTGAAAGAGCGCCGCGGCTTGCGGGTCGTCAGGATTCTGCACAGTCCACGCATCAGTCCTCGCTTCCCTGTATCAAGCTCTTCGCAGAGGCGAGAGGGAAGCAAGACGCACCCGATCCGGATGGACTTTCAATGATTTCTGCCTGTACGCCTTCCTGATCTCCCCCGACGTAGCTGTTGACTCAATGCCGAGTAGAGCATAGTAGTCCACGTCTTCGGAGGCCATTGTGTGCGAGAGAGAGGGGGGGTAGCAGGAGGAGAGGGTCGACAGGCGGGGTGGCGAGGGGCTGGGAAGGCGAGGGGGTGGATCTGGCTAATGTGATCGAGTGCTGCGAGTCGTTTCGGGCTTGGTAAAGCTGCCTCAGGTCGATGGCGAGTCCGTGAGACCGTGCGAGAGGGAGGTTGAGGGACGGGTCGAGAGAGCGACGACAGCGCGGCGTGGGAGCGCGGCTGGAAGGGCAACACCGATCTAACACGCTGTCTAGCACAGTTCAAGCGTCACACAGTCCACCAAGCGAGTGCAAGCGCGAGTCGTCGCCGCCTGACTTCATCTCTCCCGTTCGCCGCAACTCTTTCCCTCCGACTTCGCACTCCCACACGCTCTTGCACGATGTTGACCCGCTGCCTCGCTCGCACTGTCACCCTCGCCGCCCGGCCGGCCCTCGCACGCGCGCCCGTCCAGCTCGCCCGCGTCGCAGGCGCAGTCCAGTCCCCTCGCGCTTTCTCGACCTCCCTCGCGCGCTTCAGCAATGGTGCGCCTCGCTCTTGGCCCCTGCAAGTGAACGAGACTGACCTGATTTTGGGGAACAGAGTCGCTGAGCGCCAAGTTGGCGGAGGAGATCAAGTTCGAGAAGGACTCGAATGACCCGTACACTGAGCCCGAGTTCTTGACCAACTTCAAGGAGGAGGGCGTCTGGAAGGTGCGCATGCAGTCTCGTTCGAGTGCGAGACGAGGCTGACGGGATGAAATGCAGGTCGAGGACGCAGACGGCGCGGACGAGATTGCCCTTACTCGCACGTTCGGAGGCGAGAAGTGCGTCCTCTCCCTGCCCTCCTTACGACTCCTCGCTGACGAGCGAACCCATAGCATCCGCATCATCTTCTCCATCTCGGACCTCGACGCCGACGCCGACATCCCCGCCGAAGCGTACGACGAGGAGACAGGCGCCGATGCTGGCTCGGGCGGATTGGGCGACGAGGCGGCTGGAACTGCGCCGGGCTTGCCAATCGAGACGAGCATCACGATCACCAAGCAGGCGGGTGGCGCTGTCACGATTGATGCGGTTGCGCAGGGTGAGTTGCGAGCGAATCTGCTGGCCGAGGCGTGAACAAGCGTCACTGACGGCTGTACCTGTTTGTTGCGCTCACAGACGGCATGTTCACGATCAACAACATCTCGTTCTACCCCGACGCCGACCTCGCGCTCGGCATGTCATCCGAGGACGACTGGAAGCGCCAGGGTCTCTACATGGGTCCTGCCGTGCGTCTCTCCCTTCTCTTTGCGCGCTGCTGGTACTGACAGTTCCCGTGCAGTTCGACAACCTCGATGAAGCTGTCCAGACCGAGTTTGAGGAGTACCTCGAGGAGCGTGGCATCAACTCGTCGCTCGCCCTTCTGATCCCCGACCTCGCCGAGTGGAAGGAGCAGAAGTGCGTGCGCTCACCTACTCTCCGTATCCGTGCACTGACGATGCGCGTCACAGGGAGTACGTCCGCTGGCTCGAGGGCATCAAGGGCTTCCTCGAGAAGTAGTCTCCCTCGTCTCGCCTCTCGTTCCCGCCTCTGTGTGTCCCCGTCTGTACCAGCTACCTTGCATCTGCACCGCTCTCTTCCTGACAATCGAATTCGCCTCCTCGGATAGAGTTGGACGCGTCGTGACATTATTGAGAGGCTTCGCAAACAAAGCGAACCTCGCCGGACCCTTGGTCTCCGCTCCTCGCTCGCTCTCCACCTCACCCTAGTCTGTCCTTGCTGTTCGTTCCTCATCATACTCAGCTACCCGTGCTCGTCCGACCCGAGCAGAGCAGCGCCAACCACTTGCGCCCTCCGTCCCCGCGCCTCGAGGACGCGACCTTCGCAAGGTCCACTCTTCTCGCTCTTCTCGCCGCAAGTGCACGGCGCACGCGAGCACGCACACACACTCTACACTCCTTTCACCGTACGACACACACGAGTACACCCACTCTCGCCGCCTCCCAACCCTCCGCGCGCATCGAACCCGGAGTCCGCTGCATTCCTCGACGCGTCGACCTCCTCACTCAACTCTCGTCAACCCACCGTCCTTTGCGCCTCCGAGCGCCTCGATCGACGTCCAGCGTCGAGATATAGACGCTAGGGATGTCTCCGTCCCATCAGCGAGATCGGGAGAGGGAGAACGGAGGGACGGCTGCGCAACAGCGGGTTCAGCAGGCGGGGCGGTCTGGCGGACGACCGGCGGGAGGGAGCAGTAGTCACCACCACCACAGGGAGGAGCCGTCGATGGTCGGGCAGTGGAGGATGGGAAAGACGGTTGGAGAGGGATCGTCCGGTCCGTCTTGGAGTTCGCTTGGACCTCGTTGCGTACGGGTGGAAGGGCTGACCCAAATTCGTGTTGCGCAGGTCGGGTCAAGCTTGCGAAGCACAAGCTGACGGGGCAGTATGCGGCAGTCAAGATCGTACCGAAGCCGCGGAGGAAGGGCGACCAGGACAAGGTCGAGAAAGCCGACAAGGTGCGTTCGCTTCTTCCTCGGCGGGCACGATGGTCTCGCTGACGGTCAAATGCGACAGATGCTGCTCGGCATTGAGCGGGAGATCGTCATCATGAAGCTGATCGAGCACCCGAATGTCCTCCGCCTCCTCGACGTCTACGAGACCACCCACGAGCTGTGCGTTTCTTTCCCGCCGTCCTTCGCGACTCTCGCTGATTCTGCTGCACAGCTACCTGATCATGGAGTACGTTGAAGGCGGCGAGCTGTTCGACTACCTCGTCCGCAAGAAGCGCCTCCACGCCGACGAAGCGCGACACTACTTCCAGCAAATCATCTCGGGCGTCGACTACTGCCACCGCTTCAACATCTGCCACCGCGACCTCAAGCCTGAGAACCTCCTGCTCGACAAGGAGAAGAACATCAAGATCGCAGACTTTGGGATGGCGGCGCTCGAGAGGGAGGGCAGGCTGCTCGAGACGAGTTGTGGCAGCCCGCACTATGCCAGTCCCGAGATTGTCGCGGTGCGTAGCGCGCACAGACTGCCGAGTGACACGCATTGACGAGCGACACTATGCAGGGCGAGAACTACCATGGCTCTTCGTCCGACATCTGGTCCTGCGGCATCATCCTCTACGCGCTCCTCACAGGCGTCCTCCCCTTCGACCACGCCGACATCCGCACGCTCCTCTCGCTCGTCAAGCGCGGAGAGTACTACATGCCGCCCGAGCTGCCTCGCGACGCGCAGGACTTGATTCGCCGTATGCTTGTCGTTGACCCTGAGAAGCGCATCCGGGTGCGTCCCGCCCTCCCAACCCGCGTCGAATGCAGGCTGACAGAGCGATTGTGCAGATGGACGAGATACGCGCTCACCCCTGGGTGACGCGCAAACCCCCTCGCCTGATCTACGGCGTCCCTCCCCCCGCCCCTCCCGACGTGAACCAGATCGCTCGCCCCGTTGGCTCCGTCGACGAGATTGACCCCGAGATCTTGGGCAACTTGAGGACGCTGTGGCAGGGCGCAGGCGAGCGGGAAATCGTGCAGGAACTCCTTTCGCCCGAGTGCGTTCTTTCCGTGGCTCTTCTCCCAACCCGAAATCCTCGCTGACGAACGACACGAACAGGAAAACATGGGAGAAGGTCTTCTACTGCTTGTTGTACCGGTACCGGACGCGCAGTCTCGAGAACTACAACATGGACGACGAGGAGATCCGCAAGCCTCGCCGGACCGCAGGTGCTGAAGAACCTTGTACGCCACCTGCAGAGAAACGACAGCACGTCGTCGCCAGCGGTCCTGTCGCAACTCGCAACCGCCGCTCCCGCGGATCCATCTCCAACATCGCCGCCGTCTCTCCTACCAAGCGGCCCAAAACAGGCTCGCCTCCTCCAGTCACTCGTCCTGCGCCTCCTCCTCCGGTCATCCGCCCGGGACCCTCGTCGACCACCCCGTCGAGCTCGCCTGGTCCTCGTGGCCCGCGGCCGCTACCTTCGCCCTCAGCACACCTCGCAACTCCGCCCGTCTCTGCACGCGTACCGGCTATCCAGCTGCAGGAAGCGACGCCCGACCACACCGCCAGTCCTTCTCTCGCGCCGCCCACTCCTGACGCACACAGTTCCGGATGGGAAAGCATGCCTCCCTCGCCTTCGCCCCAGGCTTCCGCCGCTTTCGAGACGTCTTCGTCGTCATCGCGCCCTTCGTCAGGCGGAGCACCCGTCTTGCCCATCAACATCCCCCAAACGGGCGACGCAGCGATGCAGCAGTTCTTCCACGACATTGTCGGCCAACTCCAGACCATCTCGCTCCGCAACTCGCTCCCGCCTTCCCCTGCTCCCTCAGCTGTCTCGCCTGCCGGGACATATGTCTCGAGCTTCCTTGACTCGGGCGCATCGAACGTCTCGACCGCTCCAACGACGCCCGCTATGACCTCGAACTCGCCGCAGGTCCAGCACAAGGCGGACGGCGATGCGTCTCGTTTCGAGGACGCCGAGGACGACGAAAGCGACGTCGGGATGGCGTACACTTCGCCTATCATCGGAGGACAAGGCGACTACGGTCTCGTCGGGAGCGTCCTCGCCGACAACCCGTACAGGGCTAGCACGCCCGCCTCCTCCGCTGGCTCGAGCTACCGCGCCGCCTCGCCCGTCCTCTCGATTGGCGGAACGTCTTCCGTCCACCGCCGCTCGGCAGACGTCACGAGCGTCATGTCCCGTCCGCGGTACGGCGCCGTTCGCGGCTCGTCTCGAGAAGGCGGTGTCGCGAGTCCCACACCCGGCAGCACCACCTCGCCTTCCCGTCCCGCCAACCGTCAAACAGTCAGCTACGCCTCGTACGCGACGACGAACAGCTCGACGAGCGGCGGAGGAGCAGACAAGGAGAACGTCCGTTTCTCGGCTGTCTCGAACGCTTCGAGCGGAAGTGCAGGCGCGAATCCTGGACTGGGCTTGTCGTACCCTCGCGGTGCGCCGCCGCCTGTCGCGCCTCGGCCAGGTCTGCAGCAGCGACCAGCTCTTGGGCTCGCCATTTCGGGCGCCAACGCGAATGGCGGGCGCGGTGTTGGAGCTGGAGCGAGGGACACGATGTTTGGCGACTATGAGTTTGTTGAGCGACCGAGTATGGACGAGCAGCAGATGGCGGCGATGTACAGCATGCAGCCGAAGCTCAAGAAGAAGAAGCGTGCGTCCCCGTCTCTTCCCCTTGTCACTCTGCTTTCTCGCACTCGACACTGACGCTTTCTTGACGCTGCAGCGACGGTCTCGTTCGCGCCGCTCTCGCCCAGCTTGACCTCCTCCCGCTCGGGCGCCAACGATCCTCATGCGCCGAAGCAAAGCTGGTTCGCCGGCCTCTTCAACTGGAAGTCCCTTGTGCGTTCCAACACCTTCTCTCCTTCTCATCGCGTCGCATCTGACGCTGAACAACGCGCGCAGAGCTACACCCTTATGTCGACCGACTACGCGCACCCCACCCGGCTTGAGTGCAAGCGCCTACTCGAAGACTTGGGCGTCGCTGTCATGGTGCAGAACGCGGACGGCATGGCGATCCTCAAGTGCCGTGCGAACGAGCGAAGAGGTGCGTTTCCCGCTGACCCTTCTTCGAGCTAGGCGCGAGTAACTGACGTTTCCGCTTCGTTCTACCCATAGACTCGTCCTCCGTCGGCCCTGCCAAGTCGGTCAAGTTCCGCGTCGAGTTCTCGTCGCACTCGTCGTCGTCCTCTCCGCTCGCCTCTCCCTCCATCAGCTCGTCCTCGCCCAACCCTTCCTCTTCGTCCTCCTCCATGGCCCTGCGGCAACAGTACCCAACGCTCGTCACCCTCGTGATGGAGAAAGGCGCGCACTCGACCTTCAAGGCGACGTACAACCGCCTCCGCTTACGGTGGTCGCTCGACGACCCGCGGTCGGTTCTCAAGGATGGGTCGGCGCATGCTCAGCAGCAGCACCAGCAGCAAGGCCAGAGGGAGATGATGAACGCTGTCAGGCTCATCCCCAGTCCGATGCCGAGTCCTGCGCTTGGTGGGATGCGCTCGCCTCGACTTGCCTGAGCACCTCACAGACCCTCTCGCCATCTCTTCGCGTTTCTCCTCGACACTCACTCATTTATTCTGTCTCTTCTGCCGTCGGATAGATTTCCCCGTGTCTGTCGGACCCTATACCAGCAATTTCCTCTCTCTCGCGTCCTCTTACTTCGCTCATTCCTCGGACGCGCCTTCGTCCCGCTTCTTACGCTGGCTGCATCCCTTTCCTCGTACACACTTATCCATACACCGCCTCGTGTAATCGCTGCATTCTCTGTCGACCTGTGCGAGGTTGAGAAGGCGAGCGTGCGATCTGCTCAAACGACGACGCGCGCTGGCGGGCCTCCCGGTCCCCGCTCGAGTTGACTTTGCCGTTGCAGTCGTTGCCCTCGCGTTGCCTGCAAAGCTTTGTGCGCGACGCCGAGGGTGAGCAGGCGGGGTCCGGAGTCGGGGGTTTGGGGGTCGCCTCCTCCCGCTCACACTCGCTCACACACGCTCGTCCTGCGCTCACACTTGGCTCAAAAGCTTGCTCGTGGCTATCTGTTGCCCTGTGATTTGAACCGACAGCTCCGCGCGGCGTGCGGGACGAGATTCATCCCCTCTCCGCTGCTCTCATCATCACCTTCGGCATCCGCACCACGGCTCTGGGACGCCTCTCTGAGCACTCGCAGGGCTCGCTAGGAACACTGTAGGCGCACTGCAGAGGCGCCATGTCCGCCGCGCCCGTCGTCGTCGCACACCAGCCCTCCCCCCACGCCAACTCGTCCCCGTCCGCTGCGCCGCCCCTCGCGCCCGCCATGCTCGACTCGCACCCCGACACGCACTCGCCCGCGAACGCATCGAGCGGAGGGGAAGGCGACTCGAGCGCGCCGGCGTCGTCGAGGAGCAGCACGCTCGCGAGCAGCGTCAGCGACTTTGACGACTCTGCCTTGGACCAGGGCGCCCGTCTCGCGCGCTCGTCGGGATGGGCTACGGGCGGCAGCGCGACTCCGAGCGACGGCAGCAGGTCGCAGGTCCCGTCGAGGCAGGCGTCGTCGGTCGGGTTTGGCTTCTTGGGCGCCGAAGGTCGCCGCGGAGGAGGAGACGCGACGCCGGCTTCGTCGGACGCCGCGAGCACCGTTTCGACAACCTCGAGTAGCGCGACGCCTGTCCGTCCGGGCGGACCGGTCTTCCAGCTGTCGCACCACATCCAGCGCGTCAACTCGCACCACCGCAGTATCGAGGAACCGCTCCCCGCCGACCATGAGCCGGAGCATGGCCCGCCCGACTACACTCGCCTCCGTCAGGTCGCAGACGAGCTGCCGGGACGGGCGATGGAGAGCCCGCAGCGCGGCACGCTCCCTCGTCACGGCTCGTTCCAGGAAAGCTCGCCCAGATCCAGCTTCGCCTCGTCGTCCATGGTCAACGTGCAAGGACCGTCCGGTTCGACGACGCCAGGCGGGACGGCGACTCCTCCGCAATTCATCTTTGCCAAGATTGGCGAGCGGAAACGAGCGGCGAGCCACTCGAACCTCCTCTCGATGTCGCGGCAGACGACCAAGACGCACCACTCCGGTCCGCTGCACGACCTGCGGCGCTTCCTGAACGACCATCTTCACCACGGCAAGGGCCACCACCACGAGAAGCACCATGGCGGGTCCAAGTTTGAGATTGGCGGCGGGTCCGACAGTCACGCTTCGACGCCTCGGAGCGGCAAGTCGAGTCCGCGCGGGACGTCGCAGCCCGGCACGCCTTCGGGCGCTCGCACGCCCGTCGAGAAGGACTACACCGACACGGCGCTGCACCCGGAGTACCACTCGCACGGTCGCAACAGTCCGCCGCTTGGCGAGGACCACGCGCACTTGCAGAAGAAGTATGGAAAGTGGGGCAAGGTGCTTGGCAGCGGTGCGGGAGGGACGGTCAGGCTCATCAAGCGGAGCAGGGACCACACGGTCTACGCTGTCAAGGAATTTCGGGCGAAGAGGGCGGGCGAGACCGACCGGGAGTACGTCAAGAAGGTGACGGCCGAGTTCTGCGTGAGTTTGCGAGTCTGCTTCAGCTTCACGGCGACCGTACTCACGCCCTCCGCGCCTCGCAGATCGGCTCGACGCTGCACCACCCGAACATCATCGAGACGGTCGACATCATCTCCGACCACGGGCACTTTTACGAGGTGATGCAGTATGCCGAGTTCGACCTGTTCTCGATCGTCATGTCGGGCAGGATGACTCGGCCCGAGATCTACTGCGTCTTCAAGCAGATCGTCGACGGCGTCGACTACCTCCACTCGATGGGCCTCGCACACCGCGACCTCAAGCTCGACAACTGCGTCATGACGCACGACAACACAGTCAAGCTCATCGACTTTGGCACGGCCGTCGTCTTCCGCTACCCGGACCAGAAGCCGACCAAGGCGAACGGCATCGTCGGGTCCGACCCATACCTCGCGCCCGAGGTCATCGCGAAGAAGGAGTACGACCCGCGCCTGACCGACGTCTGGAGCGTCGCCATCATCTTCATGTGCATGATCCTCCGCCGGTTCCCCTGGAAGCTCCCCGACGCCAAGTCGGACGCCAGCTTCCGCCTCTACGTCTCGTCACACCCCGAGCTGTGCGTCTCGCCTACGACGCCGAACGCGACCGTCGGCGGCAAGCCTCTCCCGTCTCGCGCCTCGACTCACGACACCGTCTCGCGCATGACGACCAAGTCGGGATCGAGCTCCCCTGGCGGACTCGACTCGGGCTACAACACGAACCTCTCGGGCGCGAACGTCGACGGGGGTGGACGAGCGCGCGAAGGCTCGGTGCCGGCCATCACGCCGCTCGAGCGGACGCAGTCGCCGTCTAGCATGAGCGCAGGAGGTGGGGCGGACTCCCCTGCCTTGTCGGCTGCCGGCGACGCCCTCGCTGGTTCAGTCGGCTCTCTGCGGATCGACGAGAACCCTGCGGCTGAGGAAGGTCGCGAACACCAGCTCTCGACCGGTCCGTCGAGGGAGAGCAACCTCACCGCCGTCGAGGACTCGTCCGCCGCCGGCCACGCCAACACTCTCACGCCCTCTCGCCGGCCCCGAACAGACGATCCAGGCCCTCCGCCTGCACCGTCGTCCGGTCTCGGCACGTCGGACAAGCTCGCCCCCTCGTCTCCCGCTGGCCGACATCGCTCCGACTCGGTCGCCTCGAACGCGACCTGGACGACCGGTGCAGCCGACTCGATCTTCCGCCTCTTGCCTCGCGAGACGCGGTCGTGTCTCACGCGCATGCTCACAATCGAGCCGAGCATCCGGTGTACGCTCGCCGACTTGCTGCGAGGAGGAGAGGGAGACGACGTCGACGAGGAGAGGAGGGACGACTGGCTGCCGAACATCAAGCCTTGCATCTACCACAAGGGCGCCATGACGGCCAATCGAGACGACTATCATGACCATATCAAGATCCGTGCGTTTCCCGTAACTCTGTCCTTCCTTCGCTCCTTCGCTCACCCGCTCGCCCCTGATGCAGCCGCTGATAACGGCAAGATGCCCAAGCACCCCAAGAAGTGATCCTTAACCGCGTCCCGTATCCACCGCCAACTCTTTATCCCTTTCCACAACCCCGCCTCCTTATCCCCTTTCGCCATCCGCCCCGTCCATGCTCTCGGGTTATTCTGCCGTGCCTCTTCATTCATTCTCCCTCTCTCGCTGTCTCGCTTCCTGTCTGTAGCAGTCTCCCTCATCCATCACAGCGCGCCTCGCTCGACAAGACGAAATGCAGAAGAAGCCCTATTTGGCGAGCCCTTCCGTTGACGCCAAGCTTGACAGCTCTGCAATGCTCCTTCGCCTCTCTTGAACGCATCCACGGCGGAGCCGGTGCGACGACGTCGTCCGTCAGCCCCGTTCTCGCCTTGTCCTCCGCCGCTACTTCCCGCTCGCTCGCAAGCCACTCGAGCTGGACGAGCGTCCAGAGTACACATTCCACGCACCCCTAAGAACCATCTCAGCGCTCCCCGCCTCTCGCTTCCACCTCCCGCACCAATCCCGCACCGTCCCGCGCCCTCATCATCGCATCACCAAACATGTCCTTCTTGTTGCGACGGGCGCTGAAGCGCGCGACTCTCGCGCGCGTCAGCCCGCCCGCAGAGCAAAGACTGCGACAGGCGTCCACCCAGCCACGTGCGTTCTCGCCCTGACGCTCGTCTTGAACTATACTGACATTTGCTACGGTGTTGGCAGGCGCAAGGGCTACTTCGACTCGAGCTTTTGACTTTCGACTGGCTACTGGCATCGGCGCAGCAGCTGGCGCAGCAGCAGGTGCGGCCACCGGCGCAGCAGGGGATCACGGTGACGGAGGGGGCGGCGGGATGGGTGCGGACGGCGCTGGCCGCGCGACGGGGGAGGGCGATGACTTGGGCGGCGGGGAAGCCGGCGCAGATGACGAGGAGGAGGACGAGGAGGAGGCTGAGGCGCGCAGGAAGCGAAAGGGCAAGGGTAAAGCGAAGGCGACGCCGGCCAAACGGCAGAGGACGGGTGCGTTCATATGGCGCTGTGGGCCGTCAATTTTGTCTCTCTGTGCTCACAGCACGCTCACTCCTGCAGGCAGCGAAGAGTACATCCCCTCCTCAACCCCGTCCACTACCACCTCGACTAGCAGCACCCGCTCCCCCGTCTCGCTCCGCGGCTTGGGGCCAGTTCTCGCACCTGGTCCTCCGCCCACTCCCCACCAACCAGGGGAATGCTTCGAACCGCCAGCACCCTCTCCCACGGTTCCGAACGCTGAGGACGCCGCCCCGGCCCATCGTCGTCGGCGCTCCCGCAGCGCCGTCCCTTCCCCGCCCAGCTCCCAATCTACCGACCCTCTAAGCTTCCGAGCCAGGCCACCGGCTGCGGAGGAGCCCGCCTCCGATGCGTCGGACGATCCACTCCTTCTGCGCGGTACTGCGCCCCGACGCCGCGATGATGCACTAGAAAGGGAGTTTGGAGCCAGTCTGGCAGGACGCACGGGAGCAGGCGGATGGTTGGGGCCTGCAGGAGGAGGAGGACACGCGGCGCAACAACAGGTGCATCCGGATAGAGATGAGGCTGACGAGGAGGAGGAGGGGGGAGAGAGCGGAGAAGAGGTCGAGGAGGAGGAGGCGGAGGGACCGAGCGGCGACGAGGTCGACGAGGAGATGGAGGCCCGCATCTTGGCTTGGCATGATCGGCGCGCTGCTGAGATTAGGGAGGCTCAAAGGCGTCGAAGGAACCGGGGTGAAGGAACCAGCAAGGGTTCGGAGGGCAAGGGGTCACGCCCGCGCAAGTAGGCGGTTGAGTGAGTCCCGGCATCTATCCTCTCACGCGTTACGTTCTCTTGGTTAGCCAGGCTCTGATCATGCTCCGTCTTCTGTCCCCCAACCTTGCAGGCGCTGCCGTCGTCCCCTTCCCGCTCCGGCCGCTCACCCTCACTCCTCTCCTCCTCTGGCCCACGTCCCTCGCCTCTCCCTCGCCTCTCCCTCTCCCGCTCAGCTCTCCGACCCTCACTCCTCTGCCCCTCTAGCCCACCTCCCTCGCCTCTCCCTCTCCCCCTCAGTTCTCTCTCCCGCTCGCATCGCCTCTGCCGCATGCCTTGCCTCCCGCCTTTCGCCTCGCCTCACTTCCGTCCGTCCACACATCTCGACTTCCTCCTTCATCGTTTTCGCTGTACCTGTACCAGACTTCGCATCGTCAGCCGTTCCCCGTCGCGTTTGCATCTCTCTCCCTCCCCTTCTGAACCTATGTGAAGTCCTGTTGTCGTCTCTCCATACTCTCGCACGATTTACGCAGCCCCCTCCCCGCACCCCAGCAATATCAACCGTAGATTTGCCGTCCTCTGGGCTACTTTCGACGAGAGTAAGCGTCCTCAATCGGCTCATCGCTCATCGCTCATCGCTCTCCATCGCTCCATCGCCCTTCTCCTCCTCCTCCTTCCTCCAGCGATATCGCGCCCGCAGAGGTGCGTGGACTGCTGTAGGGTGCGGGCCAGCTTCAAAGACGATGCTGACCACGCTCGCACGCCCTCAGGAGCGCTCCTCGCCGACTTCTCACCCTCCCCCACCATGCCATCTCTCACGGCAATACACCTCCCGCTGCTGGGCTACTTCGCCTTGATTGGCGCGCTCACGGTCGCCATCTTGCCCAACTTTACCTCAGCCAAGCGATGGAACCGCGCCGCTGTCGGATTCGTCGCCCTCGCCTTCGTCTCGCTCGGAGTGACCTGGACGTACATGTTCAAGTACTTTGTCAAGAGCTTTGAGGATTCGGGTGCGTTTGTGAGGCTCGCTAGATGCGGTCGAAGAGCGCGCAGCTATCCGGACACCTGTACAGCCCTCCGACACGGCCTCCCCAGCTCCGCCTTTACGACGCAAGCGTGGCTTTCGGACGTCTCGCTCTTCCAGGAGGCGTGGCGCTACGTCTGCGACGGCGCAGAGCGGTGGTGGTGGTCGCAGCAGCTGTGCATGTGGACGGCCGGCCCGCTCACGCTCCTCCTCGCGACGGAGGGCTTCCGGTTCGGCGTGAAGCGCGTCTGGGCCTTCATGCTCCTCGGCCAGATCGTCGCCATCAGCACCGCGCAGTCACTCTTCTTTGCTGCCGTCATCCTCGCCGCGCTCAACAATCCCGAACCTACTTTCGCAACGCTCGATGCGCGCACCAAGTTCTATCGCCGCATCAACTTTGGCGTCCTCGTCGGCATCGTCTTCGGTACCGCGAGCGTCATGTTCGTCCCCAATACGATGAACACGCGCGCTTTCCTCCCGAACCTCCTCCTCATGCACGTCCTCATCCTCGTCCCGCTCCTCCCGCCCGTCGCCGCAATCGACAAGCCCGGCCACCCTCGTCTTTCCCGACTCCTCCTCAACTTCACCCTCGTCGGACTGCGCTTCCGCGTTCCGACTGTCATCGAGTTGCTCGGCACCGAGCAAGCCTTCTCGCTGGAAGTCTTGCGGAACGACTTCCCCGCCCTCCTCAAGTCCGAGTGGGACGTCCTGCGCTCTCACCCCGCCCAGTCGAGCATCTCCTGGGACGTCATCTTTGCGACCGTCTCGGGCCTCGCCTACGTCGTCTACTCGTCGCGCTCGTTAACCCTGCGGATCCGCCCTCAGGAGCGCGTCTCGCCTCTCGTCCTCGCCGCCATGGTCGTCGCGACGCCTCTCGTCGGTGTGGCGAGTACGGCGAGTGTAGGCATTGCAGTGAGGGAGGGCAAGCGCGAGGCGAGGGAGGACGCGGAGGAGGCGCTCGAGAAGGCGAGGCGGGAGCAGGCGGCGAGGGCGATGGCCAACCTCGGGCAGGCCGGGCAGGTCGAGTCGCAAAAGGACAAGTAGTCGTTCGTATCAGTGCATTCAAAAGGTCTTTCGCTGCAAAGGAAAAGTCAACTCTCGATTTTCGCGTCTTGCCTCGCTCGTTCTCCTCGTTCACGCTCTCCTCGCTCTCTCAACGCGTTTCGAGCTCCTGCGCGCCTCGCTACGCACGCTCGCACGGCTGATACACCTCGTACGTCGCGCGACTGCTCGCTTGCGCGCCTGAATGGAGCTGGATCGGGTTTGGAGGGCGTCCTCATCACGCGTTCGCGCGCGAGCAATAAATGAACAGGAGGGGTGCGCGGGCTCTTCAAGGAGATGAACAGGGGGTCTGGGACGGCGGCAGGGACTGGCAAGGGCCCGGCACGGTGTGTGCACGGTGGGCGGCCTCCTCCTGGTCGGGACGCGATGGGAGGGGGCGACTTTGCTCGTCGACGGCGACTTTGCGGGTCTGGCGGGTTGGGGAGCAGCTGGGCGAGGCTAGTACCGACCTGTGAAGCAGCAGCAACGCTCAGCCATTCTCCGGAACGCCGCTGATCTCCTCCCGTTCGACCTCGCAGCTTTGCCCCACCTGCATCTTCTTCATCGCCTCTCTTCCGCCTGATCAGCCCGCCTTCGACTATTCACGATGGCGACGAACGGAGGATACGACACGGGCGTCAGCTACCCGAACCCAAAGTGCGTTCCGACTTCTTGACCGCCGGCTTGACCTCGCTAATCCGCTTCCTTTCCGCTCGCAGCGTTCAGGGAAATCCGTACATCTAGTGCGTACCCTCGAACACTCCTGATAAGTCCCCGCTGACCGGACTCGCTTCACAGCCTCGCAGTCTACTCGTCCGTTCCCGTGTACGAGATGATGGTTCGCGGAATCGGAGTGATGCGCCGCCGCGCCGACAGCTGGCTCAACGCGACGCAGATTCTGAAGGTTGCGGGGGTGGACAAGGCGAAGCGGACCAAGATCTTGGAGAAGGACATTGCGCAGGGCGTGCACGAAAAGGTGCAGGGAGGGTATGGGAGGTATCAGGGCACTTGGTGCGTTCCGACTGCCTTCTTGCGTCTAATTGCTTGTACTGATCGCCCTCTCGCGCGCAGGATTCCGTTCGAGCGCTCCGTCGAGCTCGCCAACGCCTTCGGTGTCTCGCATCTTCTCGCACCCCTCTTCGACTACACCGCTCCTCCTCCGCCCGTCGCTCTCGGCGGTGCCGCACCTCCGCCCCCGATCGTCAACCCGTACGGCGTCAGCGGCCCTCCTCAGCTCCCTCCCCCGCCTCCGCCTCAACAACAGCACGTCCAGCAGCCTCATCCGCAGGACGCGAGCGCGATCCTCAACCAGGCTCGTCAGCAGGGCTTGCTGCCCAATCCGATGGCTGGCCCATCGAGCTTGCATGAGCAGCAGCAGATGCCGCCTCCGCAGTCGACCATGGGACACAAGCGCGGTGGAGATTCGCTCGACCAGGAGGACGTCAAGCGCGTCAGGATGGAGCTGACGAACGGCTTCAATGGCGTCGCAAACGGCTACCCTCCTCCCGCTGCTGCATCTCTCCCGCCGCCTATTGTCCCCGTCAGCAACTTCCGCACCACGCTCAAGTCATCGACGAAGACTCCGTTCGACCCTGCGGCCGTCGACCCCGTCCAGCTCGACCGCCAGCGCACGGCGCTCAAGTCGATCTTTGCGATGGAGGCGGAGCAGCCGCTCGGAGGCGGACCGACTCTCGTCCCCGACTTGCCTTCCATCTTCCCGCCGGACGTGCACGTCGAACCCGACACGCCGATCGACGAGAACCTGCATACTGCGCTGCATTGGGCCTCCGCTCTCGCCCGCATCTCGCTCGTTCACGCGCTCGTCAAGTACGGCGCCGACATTCACCGCGGCAACAACGTCGGCGAGACGCCCCTCATCCGCGCTGTCCTCGTCACGAATAATGCCGACCAGGACTCGTTCCTCCGCCTCCTCGAGGTTCTCGGCCCGTCTCTCCGCACTGTCGACGATGTCGGTCGCTCGGTCTTGCACCACACCGCGCTCGTCGCGGGCGTCAAGGGCCGCGCATCAAGCGCGACCTACTATCTCGAGACAATCCTCGAGTATATCGCAACGGCGGATGGCGGCAGGTTCAAGGACCTCGTCGATGTTGTCGACATGTATGGCGACACGGCGCTCAACATTGCCGCGAGGATCGGGAACAGGACGCTTGTCAGGATGTTGCTCGAGGTTGGCGCGGACAAGCTCAAGCCGAACAAGCTGGGCTTGCGACCAACCGACTATGGTCTCGAGGACCCTGTGCGTTCCTTTCGCGATTCTGTGCTGCAATGGATGAGCTGACGGTCATTGCGTTGCAGGAGTTGACGGTCAACGCCGCCGAGGAGACGCTGCACGCCCTGCAGAACCAAGACGGCGCCTCTTCGGCTCCCGTCCAGGCGTCGCAGGACGTCCTCCGCTCTCTCTCCGACACGCTTTCATCGCTCTCTTCGTCCTTCCAAGCCGAGCTGGGCAGCAAGACCGCCGAACTAGATGCGAAGAAGGCGCAGCTCCAGTCGCTTGTCCGCGAACTCGCCGACAAGCGTGCAGCGCTCACTCGCGCACGGGCTGAGGCGAACCACGTCGAGGAACAGGCGCAGCGGGTCAAGAACCTGTCTCATGCGATCGACAACGAGGACTCGTTCGACTGGACTGGCCGGACCGAGGCAGACGGCTCGCCTGCATCCGCCCTTGCCGGTCCTGGCTTCACCTACCGTGGCCCCGGCAGCACTCTCTCGAACCTGCCCTCCGGTATTTCGATCGAGTTCGACGCCGACCCTCCCTTCCCCGATACCGATGCCGGCGTCACGGGCGAGTCGCTCGTCCACCTCTTGCGACTCCAGGCGTGGCACGAGCGCGTCGAGAACCTCATGAACCAGCGGTTGGAGAAGCTGCGAGGAGGAAACGCCGACATGGAGGCCAAGCTGAAGAAGATTGTCGCGGGATGCTGCGGCGTCGACGAGGACAAGGTCGATGGCATGCTCGAGGGGCTTGTCACAGCGCTCGAGAGGTACGTCGCAGCTTCCTATCCGTCGTCGCAACTACTGGGCTGACGCGCTCTGTCCGCGTCTCGCAGCGACCCCTCCGCGACCGACCTCTCCCGCGTCGCCAACTTCCTCAGTCGCGTCAAGGACGACGCCATGCCCTGAACCTCGTACTTCTCTCCTTGTTCTGCCCCCTAAGGCCGCGCTTCGCAGCTTGTAGCTCTGTACCCTCCGTTACCTTCGTTCTTGCGGTCCTTTCCGGGTTCTTGTGCCGTCGTGCACCTTGGTATACCAGCTGGCCGTACTCAGTCCTTCCTCCTGTCTTCGAGAGAACTGCAACTCCTACGAAAGGGCTTGAAGATTTCTCGCCTCCTCGAGGCGCCATGTCCTGGCTTCGTGCTCGTTTGGCGGCGGAGGGAAAGGGGGAAAGATTGAAGGGAATGAAAGAAGACGAGCGAAAGCGAGTAGTTTGGGTTTGCTGGCTCGTGAGCCTGCAAACGCCGCTTTGCGGACTCAAGGACCGCGGCAGCCCAACCGAACCAGCGACGAGCAATGCGAGGAGCGCGGCGCGGGACCCAAACAGCTTGTTGTAATCGAAACTTGTGCACGACATTGGCGTAGTCCGTCTTAGCGGTGCGAAGGAGCGGAGAGACGAGTTTGGGTAGGAAGGTGTTGCTGGTCGTTTGAAAAGGGGGTGGAAGCGATGAAAGAACAAGGAGGACAGCAGTAATGATGTCATGTTGGCATGGTGGGCGTGAGCAAGCGCTGGACTGGCGGAACACAGAGCAACAAGGCCCTTCGGCCCTTCGGGAGAACCTGAGCAGCAAATCCTGGTCCGCGTCGAATGGGCTGAGGTAGGCAATTCAGGCGAGGCAAACTGAGGTACTCCAAGGCGTCGCGGGCACATAGGTGACCGCTGGTGTCGTGGCTGAGCGGAGAGGATCGTATGAAGCGGAATACGTGAAGGCATGGCGAGGCTTGCGGTCCGGGAAACGTAAAGTCGCACGCGTACTGCGCCAAGTCGCGCGGTCGCAGCTGAAGGCAGAGTCGGAAGACCCGCATCGTGCGAGAGCAAGGGAAAAAGGGGGTGCGAGAGGGCGCTCGAGCGTAAAATGTTGGTGAACTGCTTGTCCAAGTCCAGCCATTGCGGAAGCGTACTGGCTACTGTGGCAGTAAGCATGTTGTCGATCGAGGTGCGCAGGAGGTCTTGAGCCAGTGGTGCGCAATACGAATCTCAAGTGCGGTCGCCTCGTCGAACGAGAGGAGGGTGATGATTTGTAGGGCAGTTGCAGGGCGAGATGCGGTAGATATGAGGTGGATGGCGCTGTTCCTTTTCGAGAGAAGGAGGAGGAGACTGAGGTTGAGGAGGCCGAGGAGGGAGGGTGGCAGACTGGTGCGGAAGATGTTAAGAGGGAAGAGCGGTTGTGTCGGCTTCTCTGCAGGATTGCGGAGAGAAGAAAGGCGCTCAAGCATCTGATGCGGGTCGTCAGGCATGTCGGATGCCCGTGAAGCGGGATTGGAGGGGTAAGAGGACGAGTTGGGCGTTGCTCGAGCAGAACGTCTGGAAGAAGGGCGGATGAGCGTCATGGTCTTGTGCGGCTGAGAGTGGTGCATCTCCTTGGTGCATCAAGGCTAGCTGCTCATGCCACGCCAGCGAAGTGTGAGCATCCAGAGTCCGGGAGGGGAGAAAGGTCCGCCGGAAGGGATTCGAGTGCCCTTGAAACCGTGGCCGCCCGCCAAAGTCCCGCGTGAATCTATGACTCACGTTTTGCTGGGAGAGGAGGTCTTGCGGGAGCCTCCGAGTCGGCGGAGGTGCGGGGCTTCGAGATGAAGTGATGAGGACGGTGAGGGCGAGCAAGCGTCGGGCAGGTGGGCGGCAACGTTGGCGGTGCGCATGTACGTGGGAAGATGAATGTGAGCCGGTCTGGACTGCCACGATGCGATCTTCTGTGCGCTGGCATGCGTCGAGGTCGGGAACAACGAGTGCGGGAAAGCTGAGCCAATCAGCGGGGTAGCGCGCAGCGGGAGCATTGCGGAGCTTGTCTAGGATTACCCAAAGGCCGTCCAGCAGGCTTCGAAGCGCAGAGCGGATGGAAGAAGCAGTGGTCAAGGAGGAGGAGCGGGAATAAGGGGCATTGAGGTGGTAGATCTCGGGTTCCAGCTCAAGGAGCACATCCTGAGGTTGCTGGTGCTTGCCACGTGTAGTACGAGCGTCGCAATCGAGGCATGGAGTCCGGGAAGGGCTGGCTGAGTGAGAGGCTCTGCTCGAGCAAGAGGTGGCGTCGCTCGTCGAACGGGTTGACGCCTGACAATGTCGTAAGAAGCTGGCAAGCGTATGGCTCAGCATGTCGAATGAGACGAGAAAGGTTCAGGCAGAGGCAATGAGGACGGAGGTGGAGGTTGAGCAGAAGCGAGGGCAAGTTCGTGGAAAGCCGTGTGCGTGGACTGCGCCGGTCTCCTGTAGCCTGGAACAATTGCAGAAAGGGAGAGTCCAGAGCTCCAAGAACTGCGCAGCATGAAGCTAGCGCTGAGGGAAAGGGAGAAGCGGAACCCTCGAGAGGATCGCAAGCACCTCGTCAAGCGTTGCGAGCTTTGACGCAGTCCGTCCCGCAAAGAAGAGGTCTTAGAATGGTGCACAACACGGAGAGCGTGCTGCTGTCTCGGAGGAGCACCAGATGCCCGTTACGGAGACAGTGCGAGAAGCGAGGCTAGAAAGTCCAAGCGAGGCGGGAGATTCAGGCCAGGACATCACAGTGCGTAGCACACACGCTCAGTGTGCGGGAAGTGAACAGGAAACGGCGCCGCCTTCGGGTAGACACGCTCGAGGCAGGACAAACGCAGAGATCGACGGAAGCAGTCCGCTAAAGCAGGCGGTGAGCGTGCTCCTCGAGTCTCGCCCGAGGGATAGACGATGCAAACGTCCGCGATGTGGGCAAGGACGTGGAGACCAGTCAACAGGCAGCCTGGGGCGCCTGAAGGACGGGGAGTAGCAGATCATTGTCTTCGTCACAAGCATGGCCGCATGAGCGTGCACGCTGCCGTAGCATTCGAAGGAGAATCAGAAGCGCTGTATGCACTTGAAACCTGAATTTGCGGCCGGCAATAGGAAGCTTGAGCTGGGCGCCGACTCGGGATGAGAGAAGGTCCCGCTGGGCGGCGCGACGGGGCGCTGCTCACGAGCAGCCGCGCGACCACTCATATCGAGATGGTACGCGCGCGCGCGAGGGCTTCAGGGGCGGAGTCCGGCGAAGTGCGGGGGGCGAGACGGGTCGAGGCGTTCGATCGGCGAGGATGTGCGTGAGGGACGTGTGAGGGGAAGCGTTGGGCGTGGCTGAGATGACTTGCACTGCGCAAGGCGTCTGCGGGGGAGGCGAGGCGGGGCTGGGAGAGCTCGTCTGCGCTTTGAGAGGTGGAAGGATTGAAGCCGGCGAAGAGGGCAGTCTCGCTTCGCTGGAGGAGGCGAGAGGACGCTGCTGGGGATTCGAGACGCTTGGAAAGGCAAGAAAATGCCACTGGGGGCGGGAGAGAGCCACTGGGGGCGAGAAAAGCCACTGGGGGCGGGAAATGCCTCGGGAGGCGGAAATGAAAGAACCCTTGCGGGGGAGAAGGAGGAAGAGAAGCTCATGAGGGGCTGGGTGGCCGGACCTCAGTGAGTAGCAGGACTACGCCGCTCGCCGGAGCGAGTGGGGACGTAGGGTTCCCCGGAGGGTGGCAGAAAGGACTACGCCGCTTGCCGGAGCAAGTGGGGACGTAGGTTCCCCCGGAGGGTGGCAAAGCTATGGCTACGCCGCATCGTCGGGCAACGAGCGGGGACGTAGGTTCCCCCGGAGGGTGGCTGGCTGGCTGGCTGGGAACCGCATGAGGGGTATGGGAGCCCGGACTCATGGGTGGCAGAGGAAAGCAGGGTTACCTTTGGCAGGAAGTGTAGGAGCGAACTTGAGGAGCATCGTAGCAGGTGTAGGAGCGAACTTGAGGAGCATCGTAGCAGGTGCGGGCGCCCAGGCGTAGGCGGGATGAGGAATGGGCGAAACGACGTCGACAAGGTCGAGGTCGTCAAGTGATAGCCTGATGACGTGGCGCTGTGCGAGTTGACAGGCGGGAGGGTTGAGGACTTGAAGGCGAGGTAGGAGTGGGGGGGGACGCAGGCGAGGGCCGTTTGGTGAGAGGGAAGCAGGCGAGTGACGGCTGGAAGGCGACGTAGAGGGAGTGAGGCGGAGGGAGGGGTGCTGGCGGTGCATGGGTGCGCAGGTCGTGTTGTCCGCTGGGCTGGGGGTACGTCGCGAGGAAGCTGAGGGCGAGATCAGTTCGAAAGAGCGGGGTGTGCGTCGTGAAGGTAGCGTCGGCGGAGGAAGAGGTCGCCCAAATCCGGCCCATTTCGCGCCTCGCGCTGCCCAGTCCCTCCCGTACGCCGTCTGCGCCGGTTCCCAATGCACGTCATGTCATCCCATCTGTCCAGCGAGTCACGAGCTCCGGGTTCAGACTTGGGGACGGGAGCGGGCGTTGAACACGGTCGCTGCAGAGAGGTGGGCGGTCGAATGGCGGGTACACGACTTGAGGGGTCTGCTGGAGTTGCTGGGGCCGTTCGTCGAGCGCTCGAAAGGCTGCGAGGGAGGAGGACGGGGTCGGGTGGTGATGAAGTGGGGTGGGGGCAAACTCGACAGCACGCAAGCGCGAGGGCGCTGCGAGCTCAGCATAGCAAAACGCGCAAGCTTGAGAATCCGCAGAGCGAGCGAGACCGCCCCTCGAGGCGAGCGAGCGGGAATCGTCGAGGCGGAGGAGGGAGCGAGCGAAGCGAGCGAACGACGACGGCTCAACTCCTCGAACAAGGACAGCGATTCTTGAGCGGGATGTATGAAGGTTTCAGGCCGCCCTTTGGGTGCACTGCGCTGCGTCTTGCGCCCCGACGGGAGGCTCCATGCGTCGGCCTCCCTGGTCGAGGACAGGCGTCGTTCGCGCGGTTTGCCTTCTCCCCCTCGCTCACATTGCTGAACCCGCGCTTCCGCCGTACCACAACGTCTCCATCTATTGCTTGCTACGTGTCTGAGTCTCCGCTGGCGCGCCCCGTGCGCTTCTCTCGCTCGCACACTCCTCATCGCCTTTCGCCCCCGAAGCTTCCCGACAGCTCGACATGAGCGCTCAGCAGCCGGGGAAGTGTATCGTGTGCGGTGTTGAAACGAACAAACGTTGCTCGGCTTGCACAAAGGTCGACCACAGCCTCTTCTTTTGCTCGCCGGAATACCAGAAGCTCGTGTGTCCCCTCCTCAGTGACGTCTGCGACGAGCGAGGCTCTGAACGATCATCTAACATACCACATGAACGCATACAGGTCTGGCACACCCACCGCCGCGTCTGCGGCTCCTCACTCTCGCCTGCACCTCACCCTTGGCTTTCGAAGAAAGAGGCCGCCGAAGCCTTCGCCAACTTCGATGTTCTGCAGCGCATGTGGCATGGAGGTGACGAGAGTGTGTCGACGAGCATGCAGGCGATCCTGAAGTGTCGGGCGGAAGACGCCAAGGTGCGTCAGATTCCCCGTCGCTTACCCGTCCTGACTTACCCACCTGCTCTCTCCTACAACAGGATCTGCTCAAATTCTTTGCGGAAGGTGAGACTCACCCCTACGACACCTGGAGCTCGCAGAGCGTCATTACCGAGACGCGCAATACGGAGTATCTCCGCATACTCGGCGACAACGACCTGAACGATGTGCTGGGCAACTACGACATCTACACCGTCATCAACCAGCTCTGGAATTACATCTTGCCAATGACGCCCACAGCGGCTCAATGGTACAGCGAGGCACACCATCGCGTGGCGATCCTCCTCAAACTCATCCAGCTTCAGAAGACCGGCAATCCCGCCGTCACGCTCGACATGTGTCGGCAGTGCTTTCGACAGGTTGAGCAATGCTTGCTGACCGCGATCGCAGCCAAGCATACGGCGGCCGTCCCTTGGGCCGATTGGGCCCTCTCCCGACTGCGCAAGGCTATCGATACGTCGACGATGAGTTTGCACATTCCGCTTGACACTGCGGGAGGCGCTACGACCCGTTCTACGGCAGGGTAGGACCCGCCCGCTTGATACGCAGGCCAATTGCGGCGTGCGAATAGCTTGCAATCCCTTTTGACCGTCGAACGTCCTTCTTTTGACATCCGGAGACCTGAAGAGAGTCTCGAGCTGGCCTGAAAGCTCTCTTTCGCATCCTCGACATCTCAGAGAACGTATGATTGGGTTTGCAGACGGCGCCTAGTGCCTCTTCCTCCTCCCGCTCACTTGCTCGTCTCACCTCGCTTGAACTGCGTCCTGCTGTGTCGTACCTGATACTTGCACACTGCTATACAGCTTCTGAACGCCGCTCATCGCTCCGCGGGCCTCTCTGCGCCTATGTCCTCCTCTTACCACCTCCCCACCTCGACCCCTGCGCCGGGGACCGCAAAGCCCTGGGAACCGTTCACGCAGCCTCGATTCTGTGCTGTTGCGGGAAGGCGACTTCCAACCGCTGCTCGAAATGCGCCAAAACTCTACACGACATCTTCTTCTGCTCATCGGAACACCAGCAGCTCGTGAGTCCCCGCACAACGACGTACACAGGCCTTGCTGATCGCTGGTCGACGCAGGTCTGGCCGACACATCGTCGCTTGTGCGGAGGCGATCTCGTCGAGGGCATTCGTGGCCCTAGGCTCTCGAAGAGAGAGGCAGACGAAGCTTCGGCGCACTTCAATTATGAGGACCCCAGCTGGGCGGGCAATCGGAGGAGCATTGCGAAGTGGCTGCAGCAGATGCTAAGGCATCGGGTCACGCCTGAAATCGTGCGTCGCCTGGACTTGTTTTCCGCCAAAGCCTGCTGACCTTCCTCTCTCGCCCGTGGATCGACTGGCTATGCGGCGCAGTTGCAAGACTGGACTGAAGGGCAGAAGCATCCCGAGGACCTTGCCCTGTCGCAAGATGTGCTGGGCGTCGTACGCGAGAACGAGTTTGACCGCAAGACCGCCAGTACAAACCTTGACAACGCCTATCTTGATTGCGATGCCTTCACCGCCGTGCATTATATCCGGTCGACCGCGTCACCGTCGGTCCCCTCGCCCGAACTTTGGCACGAAGGCTGGCTTCACCGCCTGGCAATCCTGGTCGCCCTCATCCAGAAATACAAGGCGGGCGATCCGGCAGCCTCGCTCAGCATCTGCTGCGCGTCTTACCAGCAGATGGAGCGCTTCCTCCTTACAGCCAAGCCAATGACCGGCAAGCCTTATTCACCCGTGACCCGACATCCTCCTCTCGCGCCTGCACCGTGTAGTCGATCCCAGCACGATGCGCCTTACTAGAATAGCGGCGGAAGAGATCCTTGAATGGGGTATGGACGACTTGATCCGTTTGAGGCCGCACCTGGACTTGGTCAAGATGGCCGCAGCCTCCAAGGCCAACGAATGATTGCGCCTCCCTCAACTTGACTCTACATCTTTGTGCTTCTCGTATTGTGCTATTGAATTGGTGACTCTGCTGGACTACTTCTACAAGCTTGAGACACGGGAGGACGCCAGACATGCTCGCCTTATTGGTTCAGATCGTGCGCATTTCGTGGCAAGAGTCGAGTTGATGCAGTCGCTAAGCTCAGTACGCCTGCCCATCGTTCCCGCTGTACTCGTCGCCTCCCTCGCCTCCTCCGCCAGCCGCCTCGTCTTCCCGCTCTCCTTCTCCTCCCATTCCTTGCACCCCCATGCCCATCCCTCCCATCCCGCCCATCCCGCCCACAGCGCCAATCATCCCTCCGCCACCCACAGGAGTCCCAAACGCCATCATCGCAGCCGGCATACAAAGACTGACGACCTCCTCCATGTACGGCATCCGTCCGAGCGAAGCGAAGTACGGATGGGCGGCGCGGAGGACGCCGACGAAGGCGGTCCAGGAGTCGGGGGAGGTGGCGTCGAAGGTGGTAGGGTCGAAGGGAGGCGGAGGTGGAGGGGCGACGAGGGATTGAGCTGGAGCAGGAGCGGGGTTAGGAGGAGTGGAGGGAGGAGGTGCGGTCGATGGAGCGGAAGGTTGTGTCGCCGTCGATGGAGGCGCGGAGTACGACTCGACCGGCGCATCAGGACGCGAGGGGATCGGTGGGCGCGTTGGAAGCGAAAGCTCTGGCTGGGAAGGCCGTTCCGTAGGCGGCTGGTAAGGCCTCTTCGCAGGCGGCTCCTCCCTTCGCCCGTATGAATCACCATGGCCCCGCTCATCACGTCCGTAGGTATCGTACGAGCGCGGCGGAGCTTGCTGACGCTCGTATTCGTGGGGACGAGACTGATAGCCGCCGCCATTCGAGGTGCCGTCGTCCCAACGAGTCCGCTTCTGGGGCTGCTGCTGCGAAGGCGGATACGAAGATGGCTGATGCTGCTGCGGATACGAGGACGGTTGCTGCTGATACTGCTGATGCGGAGGATACTGTGGCGGGGGCTGCTGGTACTGCTGAGGATAGCTCTGCGCTTGATACGGCTGCTGAGCGTGCGAAGGCGGCGGTGGCGGAGGATGCTGGCTGCCGGAGCCGTAGCCGGAAGTGTACTGGTGGGACGAGTGGACGGGAGTCGAGCTGGAAGGAGGAGGATAGGCGGAAGGAGGAGGTTGGTGGTATGAGGGAGTCGAGTATGCGGAAGAGGTGGACGCAGAAGGGTAGTTGGAGCCGTAATGCGCTGGTTGAGGCTGCGCGGGCGGAGGAGCACTTTGGAGAAAGGGAAGTCAGCGTTGATCCGGTCCGAGGCAGACGATCCGACGCACCTATAAGTCGCGCTCGAAGACCCCTCCTTTGCTTCACGCAAAACCCGCTCGATCTCGCTCTCCATTTCCTCCTGCTTCTTCTGCTCGAGAGCGGCTTGACTCGGCGCTGCTTGAGTCGAAGCTTGGAGGAGGGCGAGGACATTGGCGGGGATGCCGGAAGAGGTGGAGGGCGTCGAGTCGCGGGGCGGGGAGACTGGACCTGTCACGGCAGAGCGAGGACGGGGGACGAGGGGGCAGGAGACAAGCAGAAAGTTTCAGTGACTTTGTTCTCCTCGCGCAAGTTTGGGATTGATGGGAAGGGAAGACCGCCAATGCGGGACGAGGCTGAATACGCATGCATTGCGGCTGGAGAGAGGCTGCTGCAGGTCGCTACTCAACGACGACGACGACACGACTAGGCGGACAGTAGCGCCGGCAGAAACGTCGATTCGGCTTGTCGAGGCGGGTTCGATCGCGGCAAGTCGGCGCGAGCAGGGCGAATGGCGGAGGTCGAGGTCGTCGCGAGTCCAAGTCAAGAGCGAGAAACGGAACATTTACCTGGACTGAGAGACGGTCGGCCGGGAGAAGCTGCGCGAGTGGGAGCAGGAGCGGCGGCGGAAGTGCTGGCAGTCGCGAGCAGCTTCGAGCTGATTTTGGCGATGGTCGACGAGCTGAAAGTCGACGCTTTGGTCCAGATGTCCAGCACCTTGCGGACCTTTTCCTGCGGGCGGGCGAAGGCGACGTGAGCGGAATGAGAGCGAGGTGAGCGAGTTATCGGGCGCACCTTGTGCTCAGGCAGGCCGTTCTCCCAGTTGTCCAGTACAATCTTGCCCAACACAGCCTCGAGCTTCTTCAGGAACGTCGCAAACGTCCCGTCTCCGCTCGCACCGGCACCTGCACCGTCGTCGGGAGGAGGACTGCCCGAGGGCGTGGTCGAACCCGCTGGTGCAGGAGCGGCCTTCTCCTTGCCCTTGCCTTCCTTGTCGGCCTTCTTCTGCCGCGAACGAGCCTCGCGCGCGACCGCATCAATGAGGTAGAGCGACGTGAGCTTGTGAGACGGAGTCGCCTTCTTGTGATGGCGGTACAGCGTCGAAACGAGGTGCGAGTCGGCCTGCGCGCGCGTGTGTTAGTCCTGCAAGCTTTCGAGAGAGTCTCTGCGAGCTCCACGTACCCCTACATTGGCCATTGCCGCCTTTGTCACCCCGTCGACCGCCGAACTCGACAGCTTGCCCTTGGTGATGAGCGCCTTGACTTGGCGGTCAAAGTCCTGCGCGTGCGTGGTCAGTACGGCCGTAGCAAGCGGTCTAGCGTGTCCAGCGCACCTCTAGCGAGGTCATGGTCGTTGGCAGCGACGTGTTGGAGGAAGACCGACGAGGAGGTCTCCCTTGGACTCCTCGATCTCACACGGGTTCGCTAGAATGGCTGGATGCGCGTGCTAAGGATGCTTTCGATTCTGCCGAAGGGTACTGTACCGCTGGGCTCGCTCCCAAGTGCTCAACAGTGGATCTCCTCCTTGCCTCCTCCCCTTGCAGCTGCGGAAACGACGACGTTCAAGGTGGATTATGAGGACGACTGGGTGGAACCGACGACTGCGATGCAGTGCATAAGGCGGGACAAAAAAAACGAGGAGCGCAGAGAAGGGTACGACTGGTCAAAGGGAGGAGGGCAACAACAACTGCTGCGCCAACGACGCCTGCGCCTCGCTGGACTGCTGCTCAACCGGTCGTAGATACTCGTGCTCTTGGGCGACGGCGCGCTTCCTGAGGCCGTCTGCTGATACGACGATACTCCGACACTTGCGGAAGTCGCTTCTGCGCTAGTGCTCGAGGCGGCGGATCGCGTGAGGGCGCTGAGCAGATTGAGCGGCGAGCTTACCGCGCCAGTAAGGGTGTAGAAACCTGTGGCGGTCGTGCCGACGCCGGCTTCGCCAAAGTTTGGTCGTATACGAGGAGGATCAGCGAAAGGTCCGAGACCAAGGCGCAGCACAACAGCACCATTTGCCTCGATTGCACTGGCCCCGCGACCAAACGGTACAGCAGCAGAGAGCAAGGCAATAGCCGTCGTGGAGAAGCGACGAAGGAGCAAGCCACCGTACTCAAACGGACGGTGGTAAGAGGCGACTTAGCTGCTGCGAATGAGGGACCGAGCGGTCCACGGTGAATCGGGAGAGTTGAGCGGACTGTCAGAGTAGTCGACGAGACAGGCCGTGGAGAAGCGGATCGGAGGAAGCGCGAGGAGGAGGAGCAGGAGGCGTGGCGAGGCATGCGCGTTGGCGAGCAAGCGGCGATAGGCATGGATGCGAATGGCTCAAGACAAGTTGGATAGGTAGTGTGGACGGGAACGAAGGATAATACAGGAGTGAGTTGGGCGCAAACGGGAGACGCTTCTACAAAGCGAGAAGAGCGACCGCACCAGCTGCCGCTCCAACGACAGCTCCGGCGCCGAGCTTGACGGTACTAGCGGCGCCAGGTGTGCCAGCCGTGTTGGCGGGCGCCGAGGCGCTCGAGACGGGCGTCTGCTGAGTCGCGGATCCTCCTGCGACGGCGGAAGTCGCGCTCGCCGAGGTGCCAGCACGCGAAGTGGCGCTCGAGAGACCGCCAAAGCCTCCGCGGGTGCTTGCTGTGATGCCGAGGGAAGAAGCGGAGGCGACGCTCTTCTCGCAGTAGTCGCCGAAGTCTGGAGGGAAGGCGCGAGTTAGCAGCTCGCCTCTATTTGCCAGGCGAGAGAGTTAAGCCAACTGTTCGCGTCCGTCGAGCTGGATCCGCCGAAGCCTGGAGAACACGCCAGGGCAAATGAAGGTCAGTTGCGAGACCGAATCTCGAGAGAGGAGAACCTTGACCTACACTTTCCGCACGTCTTCATCTCGTCAACCGGGCCGCTTCCGCAAGCGCACAAGCCAACTTGATAGTAACTGTCGTGGTCGGCGCATTTCTACGGAGCGAAAGTCAGCTTACCCGTTCCCTCGTTCGAGAAAGAGGAAAAGACGGCTCACCTCGATCAACCCGAACCATCCGGCGCACTCGTCGTGACACTTGCCACTGCTACTCTGCTGCGAGTCCGTCGCCTTCTCGAGCAAGTCTTGCAGGCCGTTGATGATATCGGTCGTCGACTGCCGCTTCGCGAATCCAGAGTCATTCGTCAGGCCGTTTGACCGCAAGGCGCGGAAGGCGTCGACGACGGTCGTTGCGGCGTTGGTAGAAGGCGCCGGGGAGGCCAGGACTGCAGGCAGAACGGTCAGCCAAGACGAGGGATGAGGCGTGAGACGCGAATGCACCGGTCGAGGCGGCAGCCAGAGCGACGAAAGCGAGGCGCATCATCCTGGAGGCGGCAGGAACGTGCAGGTTGAAATGCAAGAAAGCACGGATGTGCGGACAAGTAGCAGGTAAGAGGCTGAAGTTGGGTTAAAGCGTACGAGAGGAGAGAGTCGAAACGCGCGAGCAACGCTCCATTCCGTACAGTCCGCGGACGCTCGAGCGGTTTGAGCGCGCCATTCGACCCGGCAGACCGGTTCAAGCGCACGGGCTGATCGTGGGGAAGTCTGGGCGGAAGAGGAGAGGAGGGCGTTGTGAGGGAAAAGAAGCGGCGAGTGAAGAGGTGCGATCCGCCTTGAGCCTGTGCAGACCCAACGTGAATGGTGAGGCGGCGCACAGGCGCACAGAAGCAGCGGAACCTTGAAGCGCGAGTCCACGGCGAGTTGGGAAGGTCAAGCCGGTCCGCACTTGCGTCCTCCTTCATTGTCGATGGTGAGGCCGGCAAGATTTAGCGCGCAAAGACGACGGAGAAAGCAGGGGAAGGGCGAGCGAGGCGAAGGCGGAGTGGCAGCGACTGGCGAGCGCTAGCGAAGGCTGATGTACTCGTCGACGTCTAGGACTGCTCAAACAACGTTCTTGTTCCGGTGTGGCGCACCTCTAGCTCCCTGTGACGTTCCGACGGCCACTCTAGACATCCCACTCCTCGGCGACCTGGAAGAACTCCTTCGCGATCCGGTCCTGCGCCTGCTCGCCCGTCTCTCCGCCCGGCGTGTCCGCAATCGCACGAACAACCAAGAAGTGGTGACCCATGAGGTCTTGAGGTTGCCAGGGCTTGCCGCCTTTGCCTGCGGAGCGAACGAGAAACGATCAGGCGGAAGAAGCAGTGATGGGCGCCGGAAGGTATGAACGCACCATAGACCTTGCCACCTGCTTCCCGTGCAATGATCGTACCGGCGCAGACGTCCCAGCTCCAGCAGCCGATCTCCCAGTACAGGTCAAGCTGGCCAGCGGCGACCATCGAGTAGTTGAGAGCGGCGGATCTGTACATTAAAAGGACATGACAATCAGCCTGCGACCAAAATGCGACCGTCGGGTGAACTACAAGAAAGCCGCCTGAACGCACCCGATACTCCTCAGCGAGTGCGCCATGACTCCGCCTTCAACCTCCTTCCCGTCTCCCGCAAGCTTCATGTATGTCCGGCCCTTCTTCTCGATGACCGCCTTGCTCCGGTCCGATCCCCACTCGACGCCAATGACGGCGTCGCCGAGCGAAGGAAGGGGCGGAGGGTTTGGGTGCGTGAGCGGAAGGCGAGTAGTTTGATTCAGGTAGGCACCGTGACCTTGCAGGGCGGAGTAGAGCTTGTCGAGGAAGGGGTTGTAGATGACGCTGCCAGTAATCGGCATGTCAGCCTGGGTTAGCGAGACTTGCGGGTTTGCTCGACGTACCCGATGACCGGCTCCTGCTTGTACGTGAAGCCGATGCTGCAGCAGACCTGCTCGAGCATGGCTGTCAGCGTGCGAGAAGAAAGAACACTGGGGGAGAATCTGGACAGACGAAATCGATCGCGTGAACCTGCAGAAAGGAGGGATGGGCAGTCAGGGGTGCTGTACCGGTCGGCCCAGTGTCGGGCAACTCACAAAGTTGGTAGTGCCGTCGATAGGGTCGACTATGAACGTCGGCTCGTCCGTCAAGTCGACACGCTCGCCTCCCGCAAAGCTCTCCTCGCCAATGAACTTGAAGGAGGGGTACTTGTCGGCGATCGAACGCTTGATGAACGCCTCGACGGCCTGGTCCGTCTCCGTTACGACTGCCGCATCAATTCAGACGCTCAAAGTCAGCTCATTTGGCTCAGCAGAGCGAGTTCGAGGAGGATGTGGGGGGTCGGGACACGTTTGAGGACAAGAGCGCGGCGACACTAGCTCGAGCCATCGTGCAGCTGATACTGCCAGCTCCTGCAATGTTCTTCGAGAGTCCGAGCCAGCCAACTCTGCCGCTATATCCCTCTAGCCCGTGCAAGTCCTCCTCATCGCTCGCCGACCGAACGGCGCGACGACTCGGCAACGACGGCAGTTCGCACCGCCAAAGGAACCCAGAAAGTCGCACGGCCCACTCACGGTCTACCCGGTTCTTCTTGGTGTCTGGGTCTTGCGTCGTCGCCGCGGACTGGGTCCGCTTGCTCGACCCCTCGAGTATGAGCCGCCCCGCGTCTTTGGCGAGCTGGATCGCGAACTGGTAGATCTCCTGCAAGTCGATCGAGTCCGTAGCCATCTTCGATAACCTCAGTCGAGCGGTGTGAGCAGGAGGACGCGCGTGGTAGCAGGTTGACATCCGGCTTATCGCTCGCTGACGGCGACATCCTTCTTGGGCTGCGCTGCGTGCGTGCGAGCTTGCGAGCTTGGCGTTTGCTTGCTTGGGACTACTTGGAGCGGGCGCACTCGCCGCCCCGCGAGGTCCACCGCTCGACCTCTTCTTGATCGCTCGAGACGGCGACAAGCGCGTCGAACGGATTGCGGAGCGATGCCGAAGGTCTGTGGGAACCCAGAATGGGCGGAATGGGTGCAGGAGCTCGCGGACAGGGCAGAAGAACGCGGCGAGAAGAGCTCACAGACCTATAAGCGGGTGCGTTCCTCCTTCCCCTCCCTCAGACCGCTCGAGGTCAAGCTAATCCCGCCTCTGCAGGCCGCGAATGCGCTAAAAAGCTGCCCATTACCCTTCACGCACCCGGACGACGCCCTCCAGCTCGTAGGAGTCGGGCCCAAGATCGTCCAGTACCTCGTCGGAAAGGTCAAGGCCAAGTGCGAGAAGGAGGGATTGCCCATGCCAGATCGCAGTGCGTCAGACCCGTCTCAGGGAAGCTTTCGCGAAAGCTCACGCGCTCTCATCCCGCAGTCACCTCTCCTGCTCGTCCTCGCGTCCAGAAGGCTACCAAGAAGAAGCGTCCCTCCGCTGCTTCTTCCGACGGCGAAGTCGACCCTCGTGAAGCCCGCCGCCAACGCCTTACGAAGGGCAACCCAGCTCTTCCTCCTCCTGGTGCAATCGCTTTCCAGGCTCACCCGGACGGACACGAGTGGAACAAGCCGCTTCCGGGCCAGAAAACCGGCGAAGCTCCTCGTGCTGCTGCTGCTGGGTCCGATCCCGAGGACGACGAGGAAGCGGGCGCTGAGAAGGGCAAGGGCAAGGGGAAAGGCAAGGCGCGCGAGTACATTCCGAGGCAGAACAGCGGCGCCTACGCCATCCTCCTCTCCCTCTACAAGAACGCCTCGTATGACGAACCGCAGTCCTGGACGACCAAGAGCAAGATCATCGAGGACGGACAGGAGTACTCGAACACGCCTTTCGAGACGGGAACGGCGGTGCGAGGCGGGCAGGTGCAGGGCGGCCAGTCATTCACGTACAGCGCTTGGAGCGGCATGAAGACGCGTGAGTCGCGCATCACGTCTGCTACTGCAGTGCCCCCATGCCGGAGTTGACCGTTCTTTCTGGCGCGCCTCACAGTGACCGGCAAGGACCTCGTCGTCTCAGACAACAAGCGTCCGGCCAAGTTCGCTCTCACGCCCGCCGGCTACGCGCTTGCGGAGAAGCTCGCTCCTTCAGCCGACATAGTCGTTCACGCTCGCCCGCCCACCTCTTCCGCCGGCCACCCTTCCTCGTCCGGCCCAAACCCGCCTTCTTCGTCTGGTCCCGCTCCCGGTCCTTCACGACCCGGTTTTCCAGGCCTCGGACGGTCTCTCGGCTCGACATCCGCCTCAGCCACGACGAGCGGTCCATCCGTCGGTCGCAGCTCGTTCCATGCTTCCGCACCTCGACAACGCCAGCACACGCCGCCGCTCTTCCTGGAAGACCCGCTTCCACGTGCGAACGGCGCAGGGGACGGAGATGAAGACCCCGAGTTCCAGGCGCAGATGCGGGCGGCGCTCGAGCTGAGCAGGCGCGAGAGTACCGCTGCGCTTAGCTCGGAGCGGGATGACTTGTTCGAGGGCGGCGCGAGGAATGGGAACGGCTCGACGAGCAGCAGAGGTCTCGATGGAAGGAAGGCGGCGTCGGGGATCTATGCGGCTACGGCGAAGCAGGCGGTCGCTGCGCCTATCGTCAAGAACGTCGGTGCGTCTACTCTCCTAAGCAGCACGCTGCCTCAAGCTGAGAGTTTCTGCCGCAGATACCGCCTTCGGCTACTTCTACCTCACGGAGGACGACGCCCGAACTCTGCGCCGCGACGAAGCCGAGACCTCACAGACAGACGACGGCGCCGACCTCCTCTTCCGCATCGAGTACCGCGCTGCGCAGGACTTGCATCCGATGGTGCGCGGGCTGAAGAAGGTTGCGCATCTGACGAGGAGCGAGCCTCTTCCGGGCGGAATGACCAAGTCTGGCTACATCCGCGAACGGGTCAGCAACTTGATCGCCCCAGGATTCCCGCAGAAGATTCGCGCCGCAGCGGCGGCTACCAACGGCGCCGAAAAGGAGAAGGCTATCGAGGCGGACCCGATGTCGAGTTTGCTGGGCGGGTACAAGGCGCCAGAGAAGCGGAGCAAGGAGGCCATGTACGCCGCGCCGCCGCAGGTCAGGCATCTTGGTGGCGCAGGTGCAGATCTGGGAACGAAGCGCGGCGCAACGAGCGTCGCGAACGTTCTTGCGCGCTTCAATCCCACCGCTGCAGCTGGGATTGCCGACGACCCTCCCGTCGCTCCCGCCGCCTCCTCATCTCGACTGCCGACACATCGCCCTGCTCCAGCCCCAGCAGCCGTAGGCAGCAGTCCAAAGCGTCCTCGTTTGTCTGCCTCATCCATCCTTGCCGACGCGCCTCGCGCGACAAGCTCGACCTCGACGCAGAAGCCCCTCTTCGCCTCTTTCGATGCGCCTGCCGCTAGCTTCGCCGCCTCTGCCTCGAACGGCGGACCAGTCATCAATCGACACCCTCTCGATCCTGTGCGCGACCACGTCTCGTCAACCTCGTACACCTTCACGCCCTTCTCGCCTATCGTCTGGCCGGCCGGCTCGTTCAGGGTCTACCTCGTCGTTGACAGCCGCGAAGGCACGCGCGAACATGGCAAGCGGGTCGAGCTGTGCGAGAAGATTGAGCGCGAGGGTGTGAGGGTGGATGGCAAGATGATGCCGCTGGGAGATATGATCTGGGTTGCGAAGAAGGTGGATCCGGCGACGGGGCGACCGACAGGAGGAGACGATGTCGTTCTTGACGCCATTGTCGAACGAAAGAGGCTCGACGACCTGTGCACCTCGATCATCGACGGGCGGTATGTCGGTCAGAAGGTGCGTCTGTCGCTTCAGCTTTCGTGGACCTCGTGCTGATTCCAGCCTGGCTTGGACTGCAGTTCCGCCTCAAGGACTCGGGCATCTCGCATCGCATCTACTTGGTCGAGAAATACGATGTTGCCGCGCAGTGTGCGTTCCGCTCCCGCTTCTCACGACTGTCTCAGCTCACCGCTTACCACCTCACGTAGACGAAAAGTTCGGCAAACAGATCTGGACATGCAAGTCGCAGCTGCAGGTCAATGACGGCTTCCTCGTGCACGAGTCGGCCAACATGGCGGATACGATCAACTGGCTCAAGAAGCGGACGCAGGTCATGAGCGAGATGTACGAGGTGCGCTCGCTTCGCCCAACACCGTCTTCACCATGTCCCGCTCACACGCTTCATCGCAGTCGCAAGACCTCCATGTCATCCCCGACTCGCACATCGACCGCACCTCATACCTCTCGCTCCAGCAGCACCTGCGCCAACGCTCGCCCGCGACTGTCCACCACACGACCTACTCGTCTTTCTGTGCGCTCAACCGACCCGACGCGGCTCTCACGCTCCGCACGCAGTGGGCAAGCATGATCCAGCGCGTCAGCGGAGTGAGCGCCGAGAAGGCCGTCCAGTTCCTCGGGCGCTGGGAGACGCCGAGGCAGTTTTGGGAGGAGGCGTGTGGTCATGAGCTCGAGGTCGAGAGGGAGAACGAGGCGCTTGAGGCTGCAGCGGCCGGAGCCAAGGGCAAGAGGCAGCCGAAGAAGCGCAAAGCGGAGGACTTTGTCTTCGAGGAGCTCGACGACGGCGGGACGAGGGGCATCAAGGGCAAGCTGGGCGCCAAGATCTGGGAGCTCTTCATGGCGGAGGGCGAACGGTATGCGAGCTGAGGTCGGGGTCGCTTGGCTCTTGTTCCGTTTTGTGCATGTGTTGCTTGTCTTCCTCTCATCTCGTTCGAATCGTTTCTTGGCATGCGGTTCATTGACACAACATCAGGCGGAACGACAAAGCGAGTACACAATTGCGAAAGCGAGAGTCGAGATGGCCGGTGTCGAAGCCGGGAGGACAAAGCCGGAACTGCGGTCGATCTAGCCGTCGCCAAGCAAGTTCCACCGAGGCTGTACGTCACCAGAGTAGCAAAGTCAGTGAACTGAAAAGAGCGAGATGAAGGGACAGCGAAAGCGCCTGGCGAGACGTACCTTCTTCGCCGCCCTTTCGTCCCCTTCCGCCGCTTCGTCGCCTCCGCCGCGCCATCCGCCAACTTTCCCTCCCCCGCCCTTCTGCGTCGGACTCAGCTGCGTCCCCTTCGCCGCGTCCGGCGCCGAAGCTTGTCCGCCCTCCATGCGCTCAAACTCCCACTCCTCGCCGTCGCATCCTTCCTGAGGCGCAGCGCTCATGTCTTTCGCGCCCGGTGCGCGACGCTCCTGCTGTTGTTGCGTCGCCATCTGGCTGAGCCTATCAATCTCCGCCCAGGCAGCCTCCTCATCTTCGAACCCTGCGCCGCCATCGTCAAAGCCGCCGAGATCGCCTCCTGCCCCATACAAGTCGTCCTCGTCGTCTTGTTGCTGCGGCGCAGGCGTCGCAGGCGGGTTAAACAGCGCCTTCTCCTTCCCCTTTCCCTTATCCTTCCTCGCCGCTGCAGCGGGAGCCGCAACACTCTCACTCTTCTCCCTCTTGACCGCTCCACTACCCTTCTTTACTCCCGTCGTACCGCCGCCCGAATCATAATCGGTCGTAGCGACGACCCAGCGCGCTTCCCATGCGCCTGCGGAACCGGTGGAGGAGGGGAGATGGAACATGATTGGTCGGCCGCCGGTAGTGAAGTGTGCTGTGAGCGGGAGGGAGGGCGCGGAGGCGTGAGAGTGGGAGGAAGAGGAGGAGGCGGGAGCGGAAGGGGCGGAGAGGGCGATGATGGCCTGCGTGCGCGTCGAGATAGCATGCCTGATCAATCCTCTAGTCCAGAACGCGCGAGAGAAATCGGGTCTTCTCACCTTGAACTCCTTGAGCGCAAACGTAACGACGACCTCCTCGTCCGCCTCAGCTGTCGGCTCGAAATCCTGGCTGTCCGTCTCCTGTGCGTTCCCGATCTTGTACTCGTCGAAGTCGCCGACATCGACGGCGAGTTCGGTCGCGATCGCGCGCTCTTGGAAGTTCTCGCCGTGGTGAGACGACTTGGTGGAGAGGGCTGCGCATTCCGGGACCGTTAGTCCTGGTTGCTTGCGAAGGTAGGGCGGACGAGATCGCACCTCCTTCTCCATCGTTGAAGCTCCTCAACCTGCACTCGTCCTTGGTCATGTAGAACGTGATCTCGTCCGTCGCGCTCGCGTTCCCCCCGCCCGCTGTCCGCAAGTGGAAGTGATCCGTCCATTCCTTGAGGACTCGGGAGGAGGCGGTCCAAGTCGAGGTGCAGGAGGAGACGTCGAAGCGAGCCCAATTCTGAACGGAGGGATGGGAGTAGGGGAGGGAGTGGTGCTTGCGGACATCTGCTCCAGGCCGGCACTTACCATCAATCGGTTGCTACCTCTCAAGCGACCAGAACTGAACGTCAGAAGACGACCGCGACGCACTGTGCTGGCAATGGAGATAGATGTGTATCCTGCACTCGCCCGACTCGATGCCCTCTTCCGCTCGCCGCCTGTTCGGGTCGTCTGAATCGGTTACCGAGATAGCGCACGTCTCGACCGAGTTGGCTGCGCGCGGACGGAGGGCCGAGAGGAGGGCCTGCGTGCGAAAGCGTGAGTTGCCAATGGAGAAAAGGGAAAGGAAGATAAAGCTGACCTTTCCGGCCAAGCTGAACTTGAACGGCTTCTCCCTCGGCGTCCTCGCGTCGGTCTCGACACTGTCGTCCAGCTGCGCCTGCCTGCCCTGCACCTCGTACAAGCCAAAGAAGCGTGGGTAGAAGTGGACGATTCCGAACGCGGTCCGCGAGCTGTTGACGGTCGAGATGGACAGGCGGGCTGAGGTGCAGCTGAAGTCGAGGTCGTCTCCGATGCGCGACAGCGTCTGCAGTGCGCGCGTGAAGACTGTCGCGCGCGAGATGTTAACCTGAGTCGCGAGGAGGAAGAGAGCGGCGAGTGCACCTTTGAGGGGCTGTCCGCCGCCGAGATCGAGTTCCATAGCTTCAGAGAGAGTCACAGCAGCGCACACAGCCCATCCAGCCCAGCGAGCGCGACACAGCAGTGAAGCGTCGTCGGTCAACCCATCTCTCGCCAGCACTGCTCGCTCTACTCTGCTGGTTCGGGCTGGACAGGATGCTGGTCAACGCTGCACGAAGCACGCTCGCACGGCAACTCGCACATACGCAGCCCTGGCCTCAGCTCGCCGCCGCCAACTCGATTCGCCGTCACGCTCCCCAGCGACCGCTTCACACGACCTTGACACAGCGTGATCAGCGTGCGTAGCCTGCGATAGACTCGCGAGATGATCCACATCATGACAGGAGTCGCTTCCCCCGGCCCGCTTGCAGACTTCTTTGATTCGGCGGCGTACGTCTCGCGGTTCGAGCAACAGGGCTTCTCGCGGCAGGAAGCAGAGGGAATTGTCGATGCGCTCGAGATGATCGTCAACGAGAGCATGGCGAATATGCAGGCGAATCTTGTCACCCGAGCGGAGCACTACAAGGTGCGCAGCGGGACAGATCCCTCGTTCGGTTGATCTCGATTGTTGTTGGCGGATTGTGCTGATGCAGATGGTTCCCGCTGTGCAGCATCACGACCGACAGAAGGTGCGCTCAGTTGGAGCACTGCCGCACGCCTCACTCCTCTGACACTGCTGCTCACTATCCCGCAGGTCGACTTTGCCGCCCTGAAACAAAATCTCGAGTTGTCCGAACGAACAGACTTCATGAACCTCAAAGCGGAGAACGAGCGACTGCTAGGCGATATCGAGAAAGTGAAGCAGAAGTTGCGCGAGGAGATCTCGCGGACGCAGGCGGGCGTGAGGCTCGACCTGAACTTGGAGAAGGTGCGTTGAAGCCTCCCTCTGCTCGTGACGTATAGTAGTTCATGCCGACTGCGCCCAGGGCCGGATCCGCGACGAGATGTCGATCCGCGAGGGCAAGTTGACGGAGGTCGACACGCGGCTGGAGAACGAGATTGGGCTGTTACGCGCAGCGTGCGTACTTTCGACTTTCCTACGCCGTTTGCACAAGCTGAGAACGTTTTTTTTTGCTTAAATGCACAGGATGGAGACTGTCAAGACCAGGTCCGTCTCCTTTCTACGCTTCGTCTGCGTCGAACAAGCACTAACCTGTCGACCGTCTCGCAGCGTCCTACAATACTCCGTCGCCGTCCTGTCGGGAACGGGCGCCATGCTCCTCGCTTACCTGAGGCTGTGAGTCCGCGCGGCTGTCCATGATTCAGCGTTGCGACCCGCAGAGCGAACCAAGCTGATGAAGCTGACCATTGCCGTCACTCGCAGGTCGATGTGAGCTCCACGTACGCACTCGCGCTGCATTGCATTCGCCCCTCTCCCACATTCCTCTCACCTCTCGCATCGCTCTCACCCTTCACCTCGCGCTTGCTCGTTCTGCGCTTCAGGACACCTATCTCGCCTCTCTGTTGTCGTTCGGTTGTACTTTTCGTATTGCAATACGGAAGAAGGGCAGATCCATGGCTCGCCGTGCGAGAACCTTGGGCGCACGAGGAGCATTTTTTTGCGGTCGTCGCTCCGCAGACTTCGCAAGGCGCAGTAGGCGGCTGAGCGGGTATCACGCAGCAATGAGCGAGGCAGTTGAGCCAGTCAAGCGGTTGTGGGCGGACAGCGAGTGAGCGGGAGAGGGTCAAGATGGTTGGTTGCGTTCTCACGCTGCCCACCGCCTCGCAGCTCGTGTGACCTGCTTGTCTGCTTCGCTAGAGTGTTTCAAGACCGTCACACGTGCGCCAAAGTTCGCCGAAGGTCCCTCGCACTGCGCCTCCCCATTCCTCCGTTCTCATCGCTCGACACTCGATAACGGCGACGACAGCCTCGCGGAACCTGCGAGATGACCAACACGACCTACAACACGTGTTGCATGTGCGGCAAGGAAACAAAGACCCGTTGTCCCAGATGTGCGGCGGAAGGGATCGACGTCTTCTTCTGCTCGACCGACCACCAGAAGCTTGTGCGTTTTACTTGCGACTTTGGGCTGGCGAAGTAAAGATTATGTTGATCTTATCTGTGCTGTACAGGCTTGGTCGACTCACAAGCTCGTCTGCGGATCCAAGTCCAACCCCTTCACCCTTCCGCCCTTGACAGACGAAGAAGCCGACTTTGTCTGGACCCATCGTCGATTCGCCTCGGAGCAGATTGCCATGATTACGATGGGAGCACTCCCTGCGACGCCACTCAAGCTGTTGGAGGAGCGATGCGCCGTTAAGGAGGATGGGATGCGCGTGAGTTGCAATCGCCTCTGCACCCGCGGCTGATGGGTTCCTGACGCTTCTGCAAATCCTCGCAAGGACGTGCTATCCGCTCTCTCTCGCGACGAACCCGCTTCGCAAGACATCGAGGCACAGCGTTTCGAGCTCTTGCGCACGTTGCGAGTCTACATCTTCTGCCAGCAGGGCGAGCTCCTCCATCAGCGCCGCATCGCCATGGGAGACGCCTACACTCGTCCCAACGAGACGACTGCGCCTATCCAGAGCCTCTCCATCAAGCTGATGGCGTCCGAATGGCAGCAATTGTCGGAAGGCGAGCGGAAGAAGAGGTGGTTCTCCGAGTTGTCGCACCGCCTGCTGGCGTACGGGATCTATGCGCGCGTAAATGAGGGAGATTTGTCAGCGCAGCAGGTGCGCGACATCCTGGGCATGTTGGCCGCGTTGCGGCGGTACATCCGGAGCGAGAGAGGCGTTCCTATTAGCGTCGGCGGGAGGACGGCGCTTGTTGCTGAGACGGAGCGTTGGGTTATGCGCATGCAGGCGAACATGCAGGCGCGACTTGAGGAGCTGTCATGAGTAGACATTCGAGAGAGGAATAGAATTGATTAGCGATACTCTCCAAAGACGGCTCGACAGCAGCAAATTCCGCAGTGTCTCGCTGGACTGCTCAAGCCTTCCAGGGCTTGGTTGTGTCAGACTATATCCCTACGTTGCCGAGCTACGATAAGGAGCGAGACAAGATGCTGCCGTATGCCGGTTCAGCGTGCAGACGGGCTCATGCGCCTCTTCAGGAGCTCCTTCGGATCCATGAAGACGTTGAGGGGAACGTTCTGGAGCGCGTCTGCCAGTTCCTGGTCGCCCGTGCCCATTCCGTCGAACATCCAGAGGATGTAGCGCCTGTGCAGCCTTGCAGTGAGCGCTGCAATTCCTTCAACGTCGTACCGGAAGTTATCGGTGAACTTGTACGAATCGCGAGGACGAGCAACCTGTGGATGAGGAAGTCGTTCCAAGACTTGTAAGAGACGAAAGGCGGAAGCATCTCGCTCTTATAGAGGTGCACATAAACCTGGCACTGCTGTGCTGCCAAGAAGAAGAAAGGTACTGGCGGGGAAACGCTAGGCGGAAGGTTCATCCGACAAACTGCAAGGCGAGAAGAGCGGACGGCGGCAACGAGGAGTGGCTTCAAGGGAAGCTCGGCGGTAGACCATGTGGGCCCTGGCAGGTGTTTGAGCACATACTGCGTAGCACGAGGCGTCAGTGAAAGCTGTACGACAGACAGAGACGAGTGCAGAACGCGCCTCGAAGGAGCGCCCAGAAAAGCGTTCGAGGTCAGCCTTGACGCTCGAGAAGCCGCCTATCTCCAGCCACATGCTGTTGTCCGCCCTGGCTTTCAAGTCCTCGATCTCTTCGGCAGAAAGCTCGGGAATCTTGATGGGTCCAGCGCGCCCTCCGGTCCCGCAGACGAATTTGTGAGAACACCAGACCTGCGCAAGCCGACTCGAGTCAGCGCGTGGACATGCAGTATGCTACAAAGATACGGCGCACCAGCTTCTGGCAGTCCCGCGAGCAGAAGAAGAGGTCGATGCCGACTTGGGCGCACGAGGAGCAGTTCGTCGTGGTCGTCGCTCCGCAGACTTCGCAAGGCGCAGTAGGCGGCTGAGCGGGCATTTTGGAGTAGCTAGCAAGTCAGTCCCAGCCAGGCAAGCCGTTGTGGTCAATAGCGAGCGAGTGGTCGAGGGCGAAGAGGCGTCGCCGCGTCTTTCCGCATTACCACGGCCTTCGCAGCTCGAGTGCGCGTGCTAGGCTGGTCGAGCTTGCCGTGAAGTCGCTCTATCCGGCGCATAACGCGTCCAGCCAGCCTTCTCCTCGGATCCTCCCCACTCCGCCGTCCTCATCGCGTCGCGTCCTCACAACTCGCAAACCCGCTTCGAGGCGCTCAAGATGGCAGTAGTAGACCTCAACACGTGTATCGTGTGCGGCAAGAAGTCGGAGTCACGCTGTCAGCCGTGCGGGAAGGCCGGCGTCGAGGTCTACTTCTGCGGAGCAGAACATCAGCGAGCGGTGCGTCGCGCTTTCCGGGTCGCTCGATGAATGGGCTCACTGAAAAGAACGCTGTAGCTCCCGCTGACGCTTCTCACTCGCAGATCTGGCCGGTCCACAAGTTCTTCTGCGGGCCGAAGGCTTGCCCCCTCGTTTGGCCCGATTTGACGACCGCAGAAGCGGACGCTGCGTGGAAGCAGCGAACGTGGTGTGACGACTCGAGCGAGGCGATACACTACGAAGACCGCATCCCGATCACCTCGGCGTTCAAGCAGATTATCGGGATTGAGGAGAACGAGTTGCAGGTTCCGTTGACCTTCCGTTCCCCGACTACACTGCCTCGCCTTACTGACGCTGCGCCCTCGACAGAACGTTCTGCAGTCACTCACCGGCAAAGGCGAAGTGACGCCGACAGTCGCCGCCCGCCGACAAGCCCTCGTTAAATAAGTTCGGCTAGCTCTTTTCAACCACACCCTCATGCAGAACCAGCAAAGCGCCAAGATGTACGGCAACAATATGATCATGCTGCACGGCATCTTGTCCGTCTTCAGCACCGCCGGGCTCCTGTACCTCCCCGATGCACCCTGGATCTCCGAACTCGTCGCACGCATCATGGGCCTCAAATACAAGGCTGGTCAAGGCTGGAGGACTGCTCAGGAGTACAAGGAGCAGCTAGAGGCCCTCAAGCAGTTCCGAGGCTTCCTCGATGCGAGGGTGCCGCCAGACCAGTCAGAGAGAGAAGGAATTCTAGCCGGAATGAACGAGTGGCTGATGACGATACAGGGGATCGCGGAGAAGCAGCTCGTAATGGCTTCAGCGCAGCGTTCGATCTTCTTGCAATGAGACTTGAGGACGAGCGCGCAAAGAACGAGGTGGGAAGCCGAGGAAGAAGAAGAGGCGATGAGAGATGCGGAAGTCGTAACGTTCCGATGGCGGAGGAAATTGCACGGGATTGATTGTTCGAGGTGATGGGAGTGAAGGCGGCAAGGAGGAGAGGAGAGCGAGTCTCGTCAGTTCACTTCATCCCAAGTCCTTCCCCGCCTACTCTCGCGACACGAGCGAAACCCGCTACGCACTACTGGCCCTGCTTGAGGAGCTCGGTGAGACGCGAGCCACGGTTGAGGAGGAAGCGGGTCGAGGCGTCGAGGTCCGAACCGAACTGGGCGAACGCGGCAACGTCGCGGTACTGGGCGAGGTAGAGCTTGAGCGAACCGGCGACGGCCTTCATGACCTGCGGCACAATACGGAGGGGGACTTGTTCAGTAACAGGGCGTGAACGGAGGACTGCACGGCGCACCTTGGTCTGGGCGGACAAGCCGACACGCGAGACGGAGAGACCGACGTTGATGGCCGGGCGGACACCCTTGAAGAAGAGCTCAGCCTCCAGGAAGATCTGCCCGTCCTGCGGATAGTTTGAAGAGTCGAAAGTCAGCGGCAGACTCGAAACCAGATCTCGGACACTCGAGTCGCGCGTGAACGTACGGTGATGGAGATGACGTTGGTCGGGATGTACGCCGAGACGTCACCGCCCTGGGTCTCGATAACGGGGAGGGCCGTGAGCGAGCTGCCGCCGTGCTTGTCCGAGAGCTTGGCCGAGCGCTCGAGGAGAAGTGGTTTCACAAGCGTTGATTACATTCTTAGCCGCTGTTCCATCGCTGCCCGTCTCAAGACTCCCGGCGTAGCTGAGCGGTTGCCTACGCAGCGATTTGAGCGATGCGAGCCTGCAGCGGAAACGCGGAGCGTCGCCCGCCTAGAGTTCTCCTCCATCTCGCGAGCCTTCGAGTCGCTCGTCGCCTAGTCCGCACCGTGAGCAACAATACGCTGTAGCAGGAGCGAGGGCTCCAGGAAGTCGAACGGAGGGCAAGCGAGAGTCGGCGAGAGAGCGAGCGGGCGGTGAGAGCCGTCGCAACGTCGTGGTTTGCTCGCTCGACGCTTAACGTCCTCCGCAAGGTTGACGCGAGTCAGCAGCAGGTAGCGCGAGCACCCCGCCACTCTCCCATCCGCCTCGAACCTGTCTCCTCCGATCCTCGTGCATCTTCCTCGCCGTCGACGCCGCTGTTCCGCCTCGCTCCGACTGCCAATTCGCTTGAGAAAACATCCTTGCACTGTTTAGATGCCTCCCCTAGCTCCGCGAGGTGTGCGAGACCAAGAGCGAGAGCGTGCGAGCATGACGAGGTCGAGCAGGCTGAGCGGACGAGCGGGCGACCGTGTGCGCCCTCGCTCGACTCGCTTCTGTGTGCACTGTGATCCGCGAGTAACCCCAGCAGACCAGCGAGTGACCCAGAGTGAGAAGAAGGAGGGCGAGCTGGTTGTAATGGTGAGTTGTGATGAGTTGAATACAAACTCGGGTTCAATACAAAGTGCCGTCTCCAGCCCGTGCCCTCTCGCCCTCCCTCCCCGTCCCGCGCTGCCCATCACCATGCACCGCTCTCTCCGCCTCGCGTCCATCGCCTCCAAGGCCGCTGCGGTGAGTCTGCGCAACAGCCACCCGCGCGCGCGGCGTTGCGGTGGCGTTTGGGCGACTCGAGCTGACGAGGTTGGCCCCTCCCACCCCCGACACCCTCAGCGCCCGGCCCTCGCCCGCGCGTACGCCACCGCCAAGCCGGGTGAGTCCCTTGCACTCTCCTGCACACGCTCCAACCGCCCGCTGACCCGCGCGAGGCCGTGACAGCCGCGTCCGAGGTCGCCTCCATCCTCGAGAGCCGCATCTCGGGCTCGACCGCTGGCGCTGATGTCCAGGAGACTGGCCGCGTCCTCACCATCGGTGACGGTATCGCCCGGTGCGCATCCACGCCGTCCACTTCGAGCGAGACGCGCGCGCTGACCCTGTCGCCGCCCGCAGTGTCTACGGCCTCCGCAACGTCCAGGGTGCGCTTCGTTTGATTGGCGCACGCGGCAACATCGCTCGCGGGGCTTGCTGGACGGGATAACAGGGACTGACACGTTGTCGCATCGCAGCCGAGGAGATGGTCGAGTTCGCCTCGGGCGTTCGCGGCATGTGCTTGAACTTGGAGGCCGGTGAGCTGTCCCCCCTCCCTCTCGTCGCCTCCGCCTCTTCCCCTCGGCTTTCGCTGGGGCGTTGGCTGACCTTTTCCGATGCACTCTGCCACGCACAGACAACGTCGGTGTCACCATCTTCGGTAACGACCGTGCCATGTGAGTTTCGAGGCGATGCCGACGAGGAGGACCGCTTCGTCCCGACCCGAGGTTGTGGAGTGTGGAGCCCGAGTGTTGACGTTCCCTGCACACCCACAGCCGTGAGGGCGACACCGTCAAGCGTACCGGCAACATTGTCGACATCCCCGTCGGCCCCGACATGCTCGGCCGCGTCGTCGACGCGCTCGGCAACCCCATCGACGGCAAGGGCCCGATCAAGGCCGCCGAGCGCCGCCGTGCGCAGGTCAAGGCCCCCGGTGTCCTCCCCCGTACCTCGGTCAAGGAGCCCATGTTGACCGGACTCAAGTCGGTCGACGCCATGGTCCCCATCGGCCGTGGCCAGCGTGAGCTCATCATCGGTGACCGTCAGACGGGTAAGACCGCTGTCGCGATCGACACGATCCTTAACCAGAAGAGGTGGAACGATGGCAACGACGACAAGAAGAAGCTTTACTGCATCTATGTCGCCGTTGGCCAGAAGCGTTCCACCGTCGCGCAGCTCGTGCAGACCCTCGAGGAGAACGACGCCCTCAAGTACTCGGTCATCGTCGCCGCCACCGCGTCCGAGGCCGCCCCGCTCCAGTACCTCGCCCCCTTCGCCGGCACCGCCATTGGCGAGTGGTTCCGCGACAACGGCAAGCACGCCCTCATCATCTACGACGACTTGTCGAAGCAGGCCGTCGCCTACCGTCAGATGTCGCTCCTCCTCCGCCGTCCCCCCGGTCGCGAGGCCTACCCGGGAGACGTCTTCTACCTCCACTCGCGTCTCCTCGAGCGCTCGGCCAAGCTCTCGGACAAGCACGGCGGCGGCTCGCTCACGGCCCTCCCCGTCATCGAGACCCAGGGCGGTGACGTCTCGGCGTACATCCCGACCAACGTCATCTCCATCACCGTACGTTCACGCGCGACTCGAGTATCTCGAGATCTGGTTTGGAGTCTGCCGCTGACTTTCGACTCTTCGAAATATCCGCAGGACGGCCAGATCTTTTTGGAGGCTGAGCTCTTCTTCAAGGGTGTCCGCCCGGCCATCAACGTCGGTCTCTCCGTCTCGCGTGTCGGCTCGTCCGCCCAGACCAAGGTGCGCCGTGCAGTCCTCCGTTCACGCCCTGTTACTGAACAAGTCCCCCTCCGTATCGTGCCGCAGGTCATGAAGGCCGTCGCCGGTTCGCTCAAGCTCTACCTCGCCCAGTACCGCGACGTCGCCGCGTTCGCCCAGTTCGGTTCGGAC